TTTCTCCCTCATTTCTTACTCAAATTAAGCTTATAATATGTCGAATTAAAGTTGAAGATGTCTAGTTTCCTGTATAAAATTTTGAGAGCAATTGGTTTAGTAGATTTTCCAGAATCGTAGAAATGGTAAGGGATGTTTAGGCCTCTGTTCGGAGTTGGCATACAGTTTTGCTTGTCCAACTTCAAACGGTGATAATCGGAGATAGAAAACTCTAAATGAGGCATGTGATACCTTGTTGGAAAGGTAATTGAGTCTAGGTTAACATACTAAACGATGAGAATTTTATAACAAGTGGGTTATGCACAATGACTAGAAAACAGAAGCATGCATAGTTTTGGGAAAACCGTAAAAGTGATATTTAGGCTAAGTGGGCTTATGAGAACCCTTGTAACTTATAATAATTATATATATATGGCTTGGATGAGTTGAAAATAATCTAAGTTACCTTTGTGATCCTAGAATGTGATTCTAAGATTATGTAATGTGCTAAAACTACGTGGTTGATTGTGTAATAAGTGAACACTTCATAATGCACTAAAATACGTAATTATGTAATAATTGGTCTATACTTGTAATGGACATATTATTGGCATGTAAGAATGAAATGTGGAATCATTAAGTTTGCCTAGAGGATTTGGCACTTAAGGGTTTACTGGAGCTTACGTATTTTATTGTTGGAGTTGGGCTTGTGATAAGCTCAGAAAGGTATAAGCTCCTAGTTCTAGTTGCTCCTCTCTCTTGTGACCCCACCATGATGATGAACATTATGGTTGTATTGTATGAAAGTATGTGGTATAACGTATATGTGCATTTATACACATTCATATAGATGTTATATGATTCTTGATGTTATGATGATGCACTGATGATATATGTTATGAGAATCTGGCCAGTGATTATGGTATGTAGGCTGCCTATGACTTGACTCTGGGAGCTATTTCATATAGATGTTATGTTGACTGTCTATGGCTTGACCCTGGAGTCACACATGTGTAACCGTCTATGGCTTTGACCTTGGGGTTACACGAGGATGATATGATGATGCTATGTTTATGTTGTATGCCTGTATTATATGCTATATATCTGACTTGTCATCCAGGAAGTGGGCTCAGGAGATTAGAGGATCCTCTATGAACCTTGAGCTTACTGAGATATGTTATCTCACCCCATTTGGGGACATCATTTCAGGTACTCAGAGTAGTGCTGATGCTTCTAGGGTAAGGCCTCCGTCTTGGAGTAATGGACGATGATGCTAATTTATTTATTATGATTAGACTATATGATGGCAGGTATAATTATTAACATGCTTAATTATCATATGTTGAGATTATATGATGTATTTATTTAGGCTCATGACTTTATGATTGGAGCCATGGATTATTTACTGATGCTTAGACGTTTGGAAACTAATATAGACTTGATGTATGTATTCAGTTATTTGAGCATGGAGCCATATTATTTGTATTGACCCATTAAGGGGATTGCAGTCCGTGTGGGACTTGAAAGCTGTCTGTTTAATTGGAGCCAAGGATTATTTACTGATGCTTACTGATTGTATGATTGGAGCCATGAATTATTTACTGATGCTTAGACGTTTGGAAACTAATATAGACTTGATGTATGTATTCAGTTATTTGGGCAGGGAGCCATATTATTTATATTGACCCATTGAGGGGATTGCAGTCCGTGTGGGACTTGCAAGCTGTCTGTTTAATTATTGTATCTATCAGGTTATTGCATGCGTGGGACCTATGTTCCCAGTTATCGAAAATACAGTTGTTATGCTATCTGTGAGACTCTGTCACAAATGACTCTTGAGGTCATATCCGGAAGGTCAACGGCCACTAGTGATGGCCAATGATTTTAATTAATAGACTTAGAAGTTAACGTTACGCTAACACAATATATCAGATGAACGCTTTGAAAATGTTTTAGAAATATTTTGGAAAAAGTTTACTCGTATTTTTATAAGACGTGGCATTAATTTTCTTTTAAAATAAAGTCTTCCGCTGTGTATGCTAAATATCATGTATGTTAACAATCGGGGTACTACGGGGTGTTACAGGACACGTGTCGGTGGCCGATATGTTCCGACACACGATCAACTCTCCGACACGCAGTCAACTTTTTTCGTCACGCGGACAACGCTCCGACACGTTCTTTTAGTCTTAATTTAATTTTATTAACTAAATATAAAAAAATTAATTTATAAATCAATTTTTTTCTAGAGTAAATACCCTTTTTAGTCCCTAACAAAAATCACAGTCCCCACTTTAGTCCCTTACAAAAATAAATTAGTCATTTAGTCCCTAACAAATTCAAAGTGGACCCATTTAGTTGAAATCGTGGTCCCTCACAAATTCAAAAAAGACCCATATTAGTCCCTCAAAAAGACTAAAACGGGTCCACCTTGAATTTGTTAGGGACTAACTGACCAATTTATTTTTGTAAGGGACTAAAGTGGGAACCGTGTTTTTTGTTAGGGATCAAAAAGGGTCTTTACTCTTTTTTCTATTATGAAATTTGACATGAAAAATTAACAAAGTACGAAAAACTATTTTTGTTTATATTTATGTTATGAAATTTGAATATTTGATTGGTTATATGACTTATTATGGACTGTTATATGGATTAAATATAAATTATATTATATATATTAAAATTTTTATTTAATATCAAAATGTGTCCCAACGTGTCGAAATATGACATTTTTTAGAATTAACATGTCGGCGTGTTGTGTCGTGCCGTATCCCGTGTCCCGTGTCGGTGCATCATAGTATATACCCACCTCTCATTTCCCACGTATCATGCAATTGTCTATTCTTTTTATAAAATTCCTTTTAATTCTCTTTTTATTTGAATTTTTACATAATAAGTGACACTAACAATGATTTAATCGCCATTGTATACTATAACAAGAGGAGATATTTTGGACCGAATGGTCAAGTTTTTAAAGGAGATACGAAAATGTTTCGCATGAGTCCCCGATGCAATTATAATGACTTGAAGAAGACAATATACAAGAAGTTGAGAATACAACTGGGTCAATCTCTATCTTGGTTGTGGAGATTGTCGAGGAATAAGATGTAACGTTAGTAGTATATGCATATCGAGATCATTCAGACTCCATATTTATTGAACTGTATGGAGAAGTAGACTCCGATGGACAGTCTAGCAGTCAACAATCCCTTCCTTCCATTCTGTCTTGGTCAATCTCTATATTGGTTGTGGAGATTGTCGAGGAATAAGATGTAACGTTAGTAGTAGATGCATATCGAGATCATTCAGACTCCATATTTATTGAACTGTATGGAGAAGTAGACTTCGATGGACAGTCTAGCAGTCAACAATCCCTTCCTTCCATTCACTCCATCGACATTAACAGGAAGCCGCTGGTCAATTTGGAAGATAGGTATGTGTCACCCATACCACCACCCCTACCAATGTCTACAGAAATGCTTATTTCCCATGACATGCATGATTCGACGTGGTGTACTGACAGTTCCGACGAAGAGGCGGATGAAGGTGTTGTTCCAGACAATGACTCATCGGATACCGACGTTGATGGTGATTTCAATTCTTGTCTGTCTACTACAGTGTGTCATTTGATTCCTTCATCGAACATTGTCGGAATGCATGACCCTCCAGTAGTAGGTTAGAAATCGTAATGGTAAAATTTTTTTAACATAATTGTTAACGACACAATTGATCAATTGCTATGCATGTGTGATTATACAGGAGAAGAGAAGTCATTATACGGATATTTAATTGGGCATACCCAAATCACTATCCCAAAAAATAGACCTGCTTCACTAATAAGTTGACTTTATTGTTGTCAAGATTCTTTAATAGTAGTATTCCTAAATTGTTCTCCTTGCATGATGTTTGTCCAACTTATGATGACATAAACAAATTATCTTCTCAAGGTTTGTGCAGGCAATCATGACAAATTTAGTCATCCACACTCTTCTTGTGAAAAAATGAAGAATTTTTTCATTCAACTTTCTTTTAAACTTGTTCAATTCCAGAGGATCAATTAATGTGACATATGAGAATCCCTCGTGTGGAAAAATAAAGGCTTTTCATTCAACTTCCTTTTAACCTTTGTTCGATTTCAGAGGATCCGTTAATGTGAGATATGAGGACGGTCATTATTTATGGTTTATGGATGAGATATTTGTTAAGGGTGGCAAAGCAATATGCACAAATAAAGGGAAGAAGCCAAAAAGAATGTGTGTATACAACTATAACAGAGAGATTAGAGTTTTAAGAATATGTGTATGGGATTTAATCCTTAATTTATAAAAAAGTTTTACCTGAATGAACAAAGTTCATTATCTCCCAAAACCTGTGGAATCCAGAATAAAGCTCAACTAAGATATTAATCCAACCAAGACTCATCTACGATTGACACCTAGAGACCTTGCCTTAGCTAGAGAACAATGTTCCCAAGTCTCAACCTCAGGGAAGGTTAATAGAACCAACCAAATCAGATTGAGCATTTCAAGTTTTCTCAAAGAAAAAATTGGTTGCAATTAGGCTTGAGTCTAAAGACAGATAGATACAAGACAGCATTCCAACACATTTCAACTTTTCAAAGTAAGCATTTCAGTTCCATTTTTCGCACTAAGATCAAGACTACAACGAATTACAATTTGGGGCGGAATCTAATTGTCCACCGTCAATCCAATATAGTGAAGGAACACTAATTGTGCTTTCTATGGGTACAAATCATTTATATTTTCGGGTTATTCAAATTACATATATCCAGTGTGATCATTGAGCAAAAGCTATCCATGAAAAAAGATAGAAATGTCAGCAGAATGCTAAAGTTTTTCTAGCAATATAAAACCATGAACAATTTTGTTTTTCTTAAAATGTTATAACAATAAATTAATAATAAAAAAGTACAAATTGCAATAAGGAATATAGAGAAATTGAATAAGAAAGAAGCATAACGAGATATTATGTATGGAAACTTCCCCATATATATGCTCTGCCTAGTTACCAGATTTTGTGTGTGGAGTATGAGTTTGTGAACAAGCTGAACCCGGACTCTGTAGTACTTGGCATTCATCTCCACCAGTTTCAGATTCAGATTCAAACGCCACCGTTTCTTCAGTTTTCACCTTCTCAACAACATAGAAATGTACATTTCACCATTCTCAGTCTCTCTTTTTGATCGATTTGTATATGCAAAATTTGTAAATTAATTTCAAAAACTGAAAACACCACATGAACTATACACATACCTTCGACGGCGATGGAGCTTCGTTAACTATCTTTTCTTGTTCCTTCTCTCTGAGCGTTCGCATCGGAGAAACTCTCTGTTCCAATCACGAAAGAAAAAAAAAGAAAAATCAACACTGAGAAATCAAAGTTGAAAACGAATCGAACAGAAAAAAAAAAAAGTTGTGGTTGTGCAACATTGTGCTTACCATGCAGCGATACTTGAGTTCCTTCAATCGGAACAACCGATCAACCTGGATCTCGAGGTTCTTCTGAATCTCCGATCTCTGTTCTATGTCCTTCATCATAGCGTCCAGCACCGCCTCCTTCTCCTTAAGCGTTTTCTCTGTCCTTTCTTTGTCCGATCTCAGCCTCTCCAGCTTCTTCTTGATCGCGCTCAGCTCCTCCGCCAGCGACGCCTCCGGCAGCAGTGGTTGCGCCAGAGCCGGAGGAGTCGCAGCGGCGGCGATCGGACGGTTCTCCTTCTCGGAATCGTGTATCGCTGAGATCTCGAAAGTTAGATGGTCGAGCTTGGGTTTGGGCTTAACGGAAGGGTGGATGGGATCGGCGGGAGAGTTCTTCGGCTGAAGCGGCGTCCGGCCAGATCGCGGCAGCAGTTTCGGTGTTCCGGTTGTCGGAGTTTGCATTTGCGTTTGCGTTTTAATCATATTGTGTCGTTTTTGGTTAGTTTGTTATTGTTTTGGGTTTTTGGCTTGGTTGGGGAGCAGAAGGGAAAGAAAAGGAGAGTGGTGGATAAAAGAGGTTGAGATCATGAGGGTAGTTTTGAATTTGAAACCAGACAGGCGCTAACGGCTAGTCAGTGCTGCTCCTTTATTTTTTTTTCTTTTGTTGACTTGGCTAGAGTTTTGTTACAATGATTTTTGCTTTTAAAAAAGCCACATTGGATTCTTGTGCAATTTTTTAAAGATAGATCTTCTCACGTAACTTTGATTAAATTCTATTTAAATTTAACAAATGTTTGTTAACTTTTAGGGGTGTTCGCGGTCTGGATTGGATCGATTTTGAAAGCAAAAATCATCCAATCCAATCTTTTCGGTTTGATCATGTAATCATCCATTCAGTTTGAATTTTTTTTCAAATCCGACCCAATCCAATCCAATTTTTTACGGTTTGGATTGGATCGGTTTTCAATTTTTTGAAAATCCTAAAATTTGTTTCATGATTATTGCGCAAATAACATCTTTTGTATATATTGGCTTTGTAAAAAGAAAAAAATTTGAAATACAAAAGCATCAGTAAACGATAATATAAATTTTTTTGGGCAATAAGATATGAAGTTCTACACAAATGAAATTTTGTTGATGAGATGTGACTAGATTTTTTCTTGAGTTTAGTTAATAGGTCTTGGGTTTAAAAAATTTTGGGCTATGATTGGGGAAAAACCCAAGTAGGTAGAGGAGAATTAATATATTGGATCGGTTTGGATTAGATCGATTTTCATCAACCAATCTGAAAATCGGTCCAATCCAATTAAAATTTGCGATTTTTTTTCGGTTTCGATTTTTGTTTTATTCGGTTATCGATTTTTCGATTCGATCACCGCGATTTGAATCGGTTTGAATTGGTTGATGAACATCCTACTATTTATCTACAACATAAGAGAAGTATTTCCCAAATATAATCTCACTATAAATATTATAACACTAGTTTAATATGCGATGCCATAATATAAATGTATATAAGTAATGAATAAATGATAAAACTTTTAAAAATTTGTATTCATATAAACCGGTTGGTTTACATTAGAAGTTATTTTTTTTTTGGTGAGCAGAAGTTGTTATTTTAATTTAGTTTGATATCATTTTCGTATTCTACTAATTTTAGGTAAAGTTATGGCGAAATATTATTATTAAATATTATCATTTAAGATAACGGCCTGACCTATAAATTTGCAAGTCTTGTGAGAAATAAACTTGTGGTGAAAGAAATATTCATTGTCCTATAAAATAATATATTGTACTGTAATGATATTATTAAATTAAAGTCTTTATGCTTACCAAAAAAAAAAGAGTCTTTATAATTACTAATATAATTATAAATGGAACACATAAAACAAAATAGTATAGTATAATTTTAAATTTTAATTATGATTTCATTTTATATATGGGTGTAGACTAAATTTAAGAATTAAAAGTTATGAGTAATTAACAAACTATTATATTCAAAGAAATGGGGGAAATTATATCATTTAAATCATTTCAAGTAAATTATGAGCGAAATTCTAACTAAATTTAAAATTTGTAAATTAGAGTACATGAAAAATAAGGTTATAAACAAATAAGTGTAAATGTAAAGGAAAAAAATGATTTGTATAGTAGATAATTTGATGTTATAATAAAGAGTTACTAATGAATGACAATTTGAGGGAAAAAATTTGGCATTAATTGATCGTTATTGTCATATAGGTGCATAAAAAGTAAAAAAATTAGTATAATGATGAGGGATTAAAATAGCCTGCATAAAGTTATAGATTCAAACCTAATGAATGACATCTGTCAATATCATTACGCGTTATCTAGGAAAAATATTTCTAATTTTATTTAATTTATTTTTACCACATTTATATAAAAAAGAGTAGATTAAAAAAATCAGTGAAATTTACTAAAAAAATTAGAGAAATTCTTTTAACTTTATTTGAGTATGAAAAACAATTCTTTTTAATATTAAACCCTTTATAAATAGTATATAATTTATGAATTTGTTTAGATTGAAATAAAAATAAAAATATGGATTCAAAATATTGAATTTTCTTAAATATTAATAAGTGCAACGACTTCAAATAAAAAATATTAAATTATATTAAAATTAATTTATTACGAATTAATTTATATATTCATCTCTTCAAGCATCTTTTTAAAATCAACTTTCAAACTGTTATAAAAAAGAGTGTTTGAAACCTGCTCCAATCTAATTCACTACAGATTTATATCATTATAAAGTGTGTAAAATGCAGAGATTAAAAAGCTCCATTAAATTTTAAGATAATTTATGTTCTATGTTTTGTGATGCTTGAAAAGGATCTAATTGAGCTTTCTATGTTTTGATGCATTTGGGAAAGAAGAATCGAGGACCACTAATACGAAGGTGAGTAGGAGAGAAACAAAACTCCAATAATGGAAAACTCAGACACAGATAATAACCAATCGATTATGCTCGAGTCTTCTCTTTCACTCCCTAAACACATCTCTTACAAAATCTCTTCTAAAACAAAGAATCTTGCAGAATATTCCTATGTCCCTAAAGATGCCAAAATACTGGAAACGGTACCACCGTTGCTCAGTCCCTATAACATCTTTAAGCGACAAAGATATGTGATTAAAAGTATTTCTAAGTTGATCTCTACTAGAAGACAGACTATGAAAGAATATGTCCAATCTTCCAAGATGGACTAGTGTGCACTACAAGCTACTTCCCAAGAGCAATATGTAAATCTAAAGATTCCCACAGAGCTTATCAATTACTGGAAAAAAGAAGGATATACTACACTACAATTTGGTGCAATTAGACTAATCTTTTCATTCCATGAAAGGAAAGGTCTTCCAATCACTATGCTCGTGTTGCCTTGCTAGATTCTAGCTACCTCCACAATGAAAATGTTGTTATTGGCACTATTCTTACAACACTCCATACTGGAAGGGTGGTTCTGGCCATCTTCCCGAATTACAATGTAAGTATGAAGGATAAGACCCTATTCAAAAGATTCAAGGTGCAGACATGAGCAAATCAAGTTCCTGAGATGTACTCAGCTACTCTTCATCATCAAATAATCTACAGGCTCCAAGATCATTCTGTTGATTTTCCACAACTTCCAAACAGTCACAATGATGCCTTATTTGTTGTTGCAAAGAACCCAGAAAATACTCCTTTGATTATTCAAATCCCTAGAAAGATATCTCGAGAAGAACTAACGAAGCTATTTTCGTTAGAATATGTAACTAACCATGAGAAGATTCATAAGGCAAGCACGCATATCCAGTCCCACGAAGCAAGTTTTAGAAGATCTGTACATGGAATTGTTAAAACCATCTTCAAAAAGCTCGGCGAAGCTACATCTAGCTCAACTCCTCTGCTTTTTCAATCATTGATGATTTTGTCATCTTTCACAGAAGAACAGATTCCAATACATGGAATCTAACTAGATGGATCTCCTATTTATACTGATTGTGTCAATGGTCATTTCATATGGTATGTTGATCCTAATAGGTGTGATTGCTGGATGCACTTTGGAGATACCAGTGATGAAGATGAAGAAGATACTAGGAGATGCAAGCCTCCTCCACTTCCTCAAAGAAGGTCTGACCCAGATAATGAACCCTGGATTGGTCTCATAACTCATAAGAAACCTGAGTCTCTTTGGATCTATAAAAGAGGTTTAGAAATTCTTAGAGAAGAATGATTGCTTCATCTTGAGCCACCAAATGACCCAAATCTTGTTTCTTGGTCCCAAAAAAAATACTTTTCTTAAGTGTCAGCCTGAATTACAACAGGTCTCACAACCTATATCATGTACGGTGTTTCCATCAGTTGACTTTCCACCTTTAGAAAGACAAACCAACCATGTTACCAAAGCTATCACAAAACCAACTATTCACCAAGGAGAAGTTCTCCCATATGAGAAACTTAAACCTCTGAGCCAAGCTGAAGAAGTGCTGAACTAGCAGATTGAGAATGCTCAAGCTCAAAATTCTATTCCAAAAAGGCTTGATGCCAGGATAGATATAATTTCCAATAAGATGGATGCAACTAAAGATCGTCTACATCATCTCCCAGAAAAGATGAGAAAATACTACAAGAAGACCTTGATAAAGATATCTCAACTTGAGGAAGAATCCAGAAAGTTAGGATTCAGTCCTGAGGCTAGTTTGAAAGAGAGAAATAAGGAGATTGAAGGCAGCAATACAAGATCTGCACAGATATATTGAGCACAAAATTAAGGCTCAAGAAAAGCCAGAAACAGAAGAATACAATCCATTCTTGACACCATCTATTGTGCCACCTACTATTCTTCTTTCCAAAAGCCACCTACTTATTTAACAAAGGTTGATCAGTCTTGGTATCATACTTTCTATAGTAGTCTCAACTTCGAAGAAAAGCGAGAACTTAATCTGACACCAGCCAATCAATCTTGCAGAGTGATGACTAACACATATAGTCACTAATAAAGTCATTTTTTAAAAGCCATCATAGTCAAAAGCTACTTTAGTAGTTTGAGGTTGTAATTGAAGTTACTTTATGGTTTGGATTTTAGTATGCTAAAGTGAAAAGTAGTTGTCTCGTCAATATTATGTTTGCTTTATTAGTTTGGATTATAGTGTAATTTGTCAAAAAAGCTAGTGTGATTTCTCAAAAGCCTAGTGTGCTTAGTCAAAAGGCTATTTTTAGGTTTTTGATTGTTATGTACCTTGTCAAAAGTAGTAGGTAATATGTCCTTATCATGTCTGCTGATGATGTAAGCGATAATGTTAGTGTTTTCTACTTCCTTGCCTATAAAAGAAAGCTTGTAATCTGTAAAAATATGACTTGAAGGAACAAGATCTAGTGTGTTTCTTCTATAAGTACTTTCCATTCTTCTTTCCAAAAACCTAGTATAATGTTATTACCATGATTGCTGTCTTTCTAAGATAAGCAAGTATGCTATACATTTACCCTATTTAAGGGATCCTGTGTATCGAAAAACTTACTCTGATGATGATCCATATGTTCTGATAGGCTGCCTAGTGAAGGCAGTAGGGGAAAACCTTTCAAGTTTTTTCCAGAAAGAGGGTGAGAATGGTAATAATATTATATAAAGGTGAGTAGGAGAGAAAAACAACTCCAATCATGGAAAACCCTGACACTGGTAATAGCCAACCTATTATGCTTCAGTCTTCTTTATACCATACAAGGCCACAATTCCTAAATATCCATAGGTTAGTCATCTCTACCATCCTCTTTTAGAGCATTCCACGGCATCCCCTCGGCTTATAGCTCTTTTCCAGATGACTTAAACAACTATCACCCATTAATTCTTAAAGATAGGAAGATCATAAAATATATGGATCATCATCAGAGTAAGTTTTCGATACACATGATCCCTTAAAAAGGAGAAATGTAGAGCATACTTGCTTCTCTTAGAGAGGTGGCAATCATGATAATAACATTTTACTAGGTTTTCAGAAATAAGAGAGAAACTTAGAAAGTACTTATGGATGGAACACACTAGATCTTATTCCTTCATGTCATATCTTCTTACAGATTACAAACTTCCTTTTATAGACAAGGAAGTAGAAAACACTGACATCATTGCTTACATCATCAACAAACATGATAAGGACAACTAACCACTACTTTTGATAAAGTACATAACAATCCAAAACCTAAAAATAGCCTTTTGACTAAGCGCACTAGGCTTTTGACAAATCACACTAGCCTTTTTGACAAATTATACTACAATCTAAACCAATAAAGCAAACATCATATTGAATCGACAACTACTTTAGACTTTAACACACTAAAATCCAAACCATAAAATAACTTTTAATTGCAACCACAAACTACTAAAGTAGCTTTTGACTAAGATGACTTTTCAAAAGTGACTTTGTCTCTTTGTCATCGTTGTCTACGATTGATTGACTGGGTATCAGAATAAGCTCTCACTTCTTTCTGGGTTGACAATACCATAGAAAGTATGATACCAAGACTGATCGACCTTTGTCTTTTCTTCCATGACATCATTCATGACCTCTACATTAGGATCTTGAGAATCTACAAAGTAAGGATAAAGATAAGGATCAAATTCTCCAAGCTTATCTGGTACATCAACAATGTTATAAAGAGGAATCTCCATTGGGCCTTGTGATGAACTTGGGCCAACTGGATCAGGATGTGTAACAACAAATCCATTTATCTTTTTCAGGTACTGTGACAATTGGATCTTATAGCTTAGATCTATATGATATTCTTCAAATGTGTTCCATAGATAAGCTATATTCTGAGACCATAAGATTCCATTGGGCTTCTGCCAGTAAAGACGATGAAAATAGCAATAGTGGTTACCTTGGCAATCTGTCCATGTGTCTTACCATTGATCTCTTTGGAATGAATGATGTTGTGTAGTTCTATTCTCCACCAAGATAATGGAGAAAACCATTCCAAGAGTGTCCACAAATAGTAATCTTGCTTGTCCGGATCAGTGAGTATACTGTATGTATCCAGCATCTTCAGCATCTTCCATTGGTATTGTGCATTTGAAATGCAAAATGCACTTTTGTATTGATCAGTAGGATCACTACCAAGTTGCCAAAATCCAGATTTGAGATCAAATTTGGAAAAGATACGAGTATCTTTGATCAGTCCTGGAAATGCCAAGGCTTTTGGAATAGGAAATTGTTGAGTAGCTTTTAATCAATCATCAATCATTTTTTTGCCTTGAAGTTTTTCTGATCTCTTCTCTACACAGAAAGCTTGACATGCCCATTGAGATTCAGTTTGTTAAATTAAACCTAGTCTCAGGAGTTCTTGGCATTCTTTTCTAGTAAGCTGGAGATTTGAAAGAGTCATTCCTGGATGAGTTGCCTTTGTAAGATTGATATCTTCATTGAGTTTAAATGGAAGTTAGATGAAAAACTTCTCATTTTTTCATAAAGGGTTAGGATGAGAAAATCCTTCATGATTATCTGCACAAAGAGACTTGAGTTTTTCTTTGATGTGGTCAAGATCATGTGGTGCTTTAGAGAGTCCATACAACTCTCTGAATAAGATTTGAAATCCCTTTTGAACTTTATGCCATAAGGGAGAATCTGGACTCTATGAGCAGCAGAATAGACATCCATGCCAATAAGAATATCTTTGTTTGGCAGTTTAGTTCCAATGATTTTGGTCCAAGCAATGCATTCAAGGAACAATTTTATCCCAATAGGTTGTTTGGTGTTCAACTCTTGATTATGCAGTTCTAGCCATCAGTATGCCTGTAAGATAAGCAATGGAAGTTTATGAAGACTCTGATATGGAATCAAAAGTCTGAGAGTAATCTTTTGAAGAATGTCTTCTGGAAGAGGATGGTTCATCTCTTCAAGATTTGTGTATATAGATGTTAGCAATTAGTAAAGTCCAAGGTTTAGGAGTTGGGTTTGTGAAATAAGCAAATGGATTTTGGAAAGGAGAATAGTAGATAGGCACAACAAATGGTGTCAAGAATGGATTGTATTCTTCTGTTTCTGGTTTTTCTTGAGCCTTAATTTTGTGCTTAATATATCTTTCGAAATCTTGAATTTTTGCCTTCAATCTCCTTATTTCTCTGTCTTTAAAATTGGCCTCAGGACTGAATCCTAACTTTCTGGATTCTTTCTCAAGTTGAGATATCTTTATCAAGGTCTTCTTGTAGCATTTTCTCATCTTTTCTGAGAGATACTACAGACGGTCTTCAGTTGCATCCATCTGATTGGAAATTCTATCTGTCTTAACATTAAGCCTTTTTAGAATAGAATTTTGAGCTTGAGCATTCTCAGTCTGCCAGTTCAGTACTTCTTCAGCTTGACTTAGAGGTTTAAGTTTTCCATCTGGGAGAACTTCTCCTTGGTGAACAGTTGGTTTATTGGTAACTTTGGTAACAGGGTTGGTTTGTCTTTCCAAAGGTGGAAAACCAACTGATGAGAACATCATACAGGGTATAGGTTAAGAGACTTGTGGTAGTTTAGGTTGATACTTAGAAAAAGTATCCTTTGGGGACCAAGAAACAAGATTTGGGTCATTTGGTGGCTCAAGAGGAAGCAATCTTTCTTCTCTGAGAATTTCTTAACCTCTTTTATAGATCCAAAGAGACTGGAATATAACCAGCTCTTGATACCATGAAGAAAAGAAGAAGTGTTTTTCTGAATAACACAATTTTCTTAATACATTGAGAGACCCAATAGGACCTATTTATATTGAGTACAGAGAGCTATATTAATATATAGCAACAGTAAACTAAGAGACTTATTTACAATAACAAGAGACACTAATAAATAAGGGAACAGATAGCAAGAAAGTAATAAATGATAAATGATAATCTAGAATAATCTACAAGATGTTATAGCAATTGAGCAACGGTGGTACCGTTTTCAGTATTTTGGCATCTTCACAAACATAGGAATATTCTATAATATTCTCTATTTTAAAAGTGATTTTGGAAGGGATGTGTTTAGGGAGTGAAAGAGAAGACTGAAGCATAATAACTATTATCAGTGTCTGGGTTTTTCATGATTGGAGTTACGTTTCTCTCCTACTCACCTTCATATAATACTATTATCATTCTCACCCTCTCTATGAGGAAAAAACTTGAAAGGTTTTCCCCCACCGCCTTCACCAAGCAACCTATCAGAACATATTTGTGGCTTTGATAGCATACAATGTGCACATTGTTATTCAATCCTGAAGCATATTTATCGGGAAAAAAAAAAAGAAAGAAAAAGAAAAAGAAAAATTTACACCATCTATGTCAAACTATGGAAATTGCTTATTATCATTATGTACGGGACATTTATTCAGAGTTGAATAGGCAATACAAGCTAAAGAGATTGCTAAACAAAATATAAAAAAATAAAATAAAAAATCTAAAGAAATTGAGTGAAAGAAACTATACAAATGAAAGCCTACTTACCACCAAAAAGGAAAAAGGTGTGTTTTTACATGAAATTCTGCAGAAAATATATGAGAATCAGAGGTAGTCCATCGGCAGCTCCCAATTATCTTCATTATCCCATTCTCTTCGTTTGGGTTTGTTTCTTCCAAAACTTTTCCTTCTCCTTGAAACACGACCATATGTCACAGATTGTTCAGAGTCGTAATCTTCAACATCATCATCCACTGAAATTCCCACATTCTGGTTGCCCAAGAAACCCTAGTACAAGAAAAAAGGTCGTTTTATGATCAACAGGATAAAATAAATGAATGACTTGTTACAAAGTGCAATAAAAGGATGCCTTAATTTATTTAATTATTTTTAATTGGAAATCACAATGTTCAGCCAGTTTTCGCCACTGAATTCCAAATCATCTTCCAGATTAAAAAGGGAAAAAACTGGTCCTAGAAAGATGGCATCAATGATTTCAGATGAAAATGGACAAAGCCACTAATTGCCAAAGAATATAATTACATGACTGCGTAAAATATGAACTCAGTATGCCATAAGCAGGAGAAATCAAAAGGTATCAGAACTGAGAGTGGATCCTCTCATGTGAAAAAGTGGTCATGTGATCATGTTATTTGATCACAACCACTCATTGATCACAACCACTCATTTAAAAATTATACACTTTTCTCTCTCTTATCTCATCATCAATGAGTGGTTGTGATCAAATAACATGACCACTTCTCCACATGAGAGGATCCACTCCCATCAGAACTGTGAGTTTCCCATGCATAAACCATAATAAGCATGAGGTTACATTTATGTATCCGTCAGAACTGGAAATCACCGGCATTGACAAAGTCAGCAGAAGCATAGAAGCAACATATTCAGCAGCTAAGAAACAGAAGAGAAGTGCAGTTTTATTCTTGAATTAAAGGTACCTTTGAAAGCCTTTGTATACGTGAAGCAGCAGCTTCATGCACAATAACTGCATCAGAAAGAACTTCCAGTACGTCCTCAACCAGCAAAGAGTAGGTACTCACCTAAAATAAAACAAGTGTATGTTTGGATTAACTTTTTTTGTATACAAAACAGTTTATAATCAAAAGCTTTGTGAGAGAGCTTTTGCACACAAAAAAAATAATTATTTCCCAAGAAATAATCAAAATCCAAAACACACTCTTAGTATTATAATTTACTAGACTAAACCCTTAGGAGCATTACAATATGAAGGCTAATCATTGTAGCTTGGATTTGGTAACATAAGACCAGGGGCCCAGCCAGGATTTTATCCTTAGGGGACCAAGACTGGTGACTAGATATATTTCTGTGAATAGAATTGATGAGCAGAATATTTGGCATTATTTGTGCAGATTTGTAATTATATCCTTAATTAATTAGCCAGCTGTAGGTTATGATTTGTAATTATATCCTTAATTAATTAGCCAGTTGTAGGTTATGATTGTGTAATTATATCCTTAATTAATTAGCTAGCTGTAGGTTATGATTGTATAGTTATGATTGTGTAATTATATCATACTATTTAAATGAGAATTCTCCAAAGGAGAACATAAAGTTTTATCCCAATTTCTCAAAGTTTAACATGGTATCAGTCTAGGTTTCGTTACTAAATTTTTCGCTGTGCTCACAGTCTCTGAGTTCCCAGTTCTAGTCTTTTGCGCGTACTGTTCACGTCGCGATTCTTGTTTTTTTTTTCCTCTTGCGATTTTTCTCAGCATCATGTCTACTGAAAAATATGATGTTCTTTTTGTTCGTCTTAATGGAAAGAACTACTCCACCTGGGCATTTCAGTTCCAGATCTTTGTCAAAGGCAAGGAGCTTTGGGGTCATGTTGACGGAACTAATTCTGCTCCTGACAAAACTACGCACCAAGCGGCACATGCCCAATGGGAGGCCAAAGATGCACAGGTAATGACTTGGATCATAGGCTCTGTTGAGCCTAGTATTGTCCTCAATCTCAGACCCTTCACAACGGCAGCAAAAATGTGGGACTATTTGAAGAAAATTTATAACCAAACAAACACTGCTCGCAGGTTCCAGCTTGAACATGAAATTTCTCTTTTGCAACAGGATAGTCTCTCAATTTCTGAATTCTATTCTCATTTCATGAATCTTTGGGCTGAATATACTGACATTGTCTATAAAGATTTGTCGACTGAAGGACAAACTGCAGTCCAAAATGTTCATGACACCACAAAACGAGATCAATTTCTTATGAAATTGAGATCTACTTTTGATGGCATTCGCACCAACCTAATGAACAGGGCTCCTGTTCCCTCCTTGGATGAATGTCTAAATGAATTGCTTCGTGAAGAAGAACGTCTCCTTACTCAGACAAACATGGAACACCAGAAATCTGCCTCCCTTCCTGTAGCGTATGCAGTACAAGCCAAACCACGAGGTCGAGACATGAGTACTGTCCAATGTTTCTGCTGCAAAGGCCATGGACATTTTGCTTCAAACTGTCCTAAAAAGTTCTGTAATTACTGCAAAAAAGGTCACATCATCAAAGAATGTCAAATCAGACCACCACGGAGAAATGCAACAGCCTTCACTGCTACTGTTGGCTCTTCTACTACTCCTGTTTCTGTGGATCAGAATCCGCCTGTTTCTGTGCCAACTTTAACCCCTGAAATGGTTCAACAAATGATTGTTTCCGCATTTTCTGGTTTGGGTCTTTGCGGTAAAGTTTCTTTATCCAGCTCTCCTTGGTACTTTGACTCTGGCGCATCCAATCATATGACCAACAATGTTGCTTCTCTTACCAATGTTACAAATTACTCTGGTAATTTACAAATACACACTGCGGATGGAAACAATTTACCTATCACAGCAATTGGTGATATTTCTTCATCTCTTACCAATGTTTATGTTTCCCCTGATCTCACCAGTAACCTTATTTCAGTTGGTCAATTAGTTGACAGTGATTGCAAAGTTGAATTCTCAAAGTCTGGTTGTCATGTGCAGGACCAATACTCAGGGAAGGTGATCGCGAAGGGGCCTAAAGTTGGACGTCTTTTTCCTCTTTATTCATTGTTGTCACCATGTTCTTTTCAGCCTTTTATTTCTTGTAATTCTGCAACTGTTAATTTTCAATTATGGCATAAGCGTCTTGGTCACCCAAATTCGAATGTACTTCATGCCTTAATGAAATCTGGAGTTCTTGGTAATAAACATTTACCATCTTTTAGTGCTGTTCAATTTGATTGCAATTCTTGTAAACTTGGTAAAAGTAAAATTCTACCATTTCCAGTTCATCAATCAAATGTAAATCAGCCTTTTAACATAATTCACAGTGATTTATGGGGCATCACACCTGTAATATTTCATGCACATTACAAATATTTTATCACTTTTATTGATGACTATAGTCGTTTCACATGGGTCTATTTTTTGCGATCTAAAGCTGAAGCTTTCTCTGCATTCCAATTTTTTCATTCCTATGTTCAAACTCAGTTTGCATAAAAAATTAAAACTCTGCGTTCTGACAATGGGGGGGAATACACATCTCATTTGTTTCAAGAGTTCTTGCAGAAAAATGGTATATTATCTCAAAGGTCGTGTCCTTCCACACCCCAACAAAATGGGATAGCTGAAAGAAAAAACCGTCATCTTCTGTTGTCCGTACCTTAATGTTGGACTCTTTAGTACTCTCCCGTTTTTGGTGTGAAGCTCTCTCAACTGCTGTCCACCTTATTAATCGGCTGCCTTCTCCAGTCTTGCACAATGATTCCCCTTTCTTAAGGTTATTTGGTAAGCAACCCAATTATTCAACTCTTCGCACCTTTGGTTGTGTCTGTTATGTTCATCTTCAGCCACCAGAACGCACCAAACTCACAGCTCAATCTGTTAAATGTGCTTTTCTTGGTTACTCAGCCCATCAAAAAGGTTTTTTATGCTATGATCCTCACTTACATAAGATTCGGGTTTCTAGAAATGTCATCTTTCAAGAAGATACATATTTTCTTGCTACTAACCAAGACACTCAATCTTCTACATCCAAATCTGTCTTGCCATTGTTTCCTAACAGTTTTGCAGAAGACCAAGCTCGTCCTCCTGTCATTGTCTACCAAAGACGTCCGACTGTTCCACCAATTCAGACTTCAATCCCTTCAAGGCCCCCTTCTGATCATTCTCTGGCTGCTGATCCAGTGCATGCACTAGAACCTGCCCCTTTACGTCGCAGTACTCACATTCGTAAACCACCGGAAAAGTATGGTGTTTCTGAATCTTTATCTTTGACAGCAACTTTAGCATCTATTCCTATTCCTTCTTCATATAAACAGGCAATGGAGCATAAATGTTGGCGGGATGCTATAGAGACTGAACTTCTTGCACTAGAGGAAAATCAAACATGGGACATTGTTCCATGTCCTTCATCGGTTAAACCTCTTGGTAGTAAATTTGTATTCACTATAAAGTTGCGTTCAGATGGATCCATCGATCGATACAAGGCTAGATTGGTTGTTCTTGGAAATAAGCAAGAATATGGCCTAGACTATGAAAAGACCTTTGCGCCGGTGGCCAAGATGACTACTGTGCGGACTATTATTGCCATTGCTGCATCTGAATCTTGGCCAATTCACTAGCTAGATGTCAAAAATGCCTTCCTTCATGGTGACCTCAAAGAAGAAGTTTACATCAAACTTCCTACGGGTATGCCCTCACTATTACCTAATACTGTTTGTAAGCTAAAACGTTCTTTGTATGGATTAAAACAGGCACCAAGAGTGTGGTTTGAAAAGTTTAGCACAACATTACTTGGTTTTTCCTTCATCCAAAGTAGCTATGATCCATCTCTTTTTCTACAAAGGACCTCCAAAGGAATTGTGATTCTCCTTGTTTATGTGGATGACATTATCGTCACCGGCTCAGATCAAGAGGCTATCACTACAATCAAACAATTGATGCATACAACTTTCCACATGAAAGATCTTGGACAGCTTACTTATTTCTTGGGATTAGAAGTACAATTCCAACAAAAAGGCATCTTTGTCACTCAGCATAAATATACTCAGGATCTAATTCAGCTAGCTGGTCTCACCACTGCAACTATGGTTGACACTCCCATGGAAGTTAATGTAAAGTTAAGACGGGATGAAGGTGACCTTCTACAAGACCCAACTTTATATCGAAAGTTGGTAGGAAGTCTCATCTACCTCACCATCACAAGACCTGATATCTCTTTTGCTGTCCACACAGTCAGCAAATTCATGCAAAATCCTAGACACTTGCATCTTACAGCAGTACAACGAATCATTAAATATTTGTTGGCCACTCCCAGTCGTGGTATCTTCTTTCCGACAAATGCAACAATACAACTTCAAGCATACAGCGATGCTGATTGGGCTGGATGTCCCGACACAAGGAAGTCTACTACTGGCTGGTGTATGTTTTTAGGAGATGCCCCTATCTCCTGGAAATGCAAGAAACAAGAATCTGTCTCTAAATCCTCCACTGAAGCAGAATATCGGTCCATGTCTGCAGCATGCTCTAAGGTTATTTGGTTACGGGGCCTTCTTTCAGAACTTGGTTATTCACAAGCAACACCAACTCCGTTGTATGCTGATAATACAAGTGCCATACAGATTGCAGCAAATCCTGTATACCATGAAAGAACAAAGCACATAGAGGTCGATTGTCTTTCAATCAGGGAAGCTTATGACCGTAGAATTATCACTCTACCTCATGTCTCAACATATGTTCAACTAGCTGACATCATCACCAAGTCTTTGACACGTCAACGACATAATTTCCTTGTCAGCAAATTGATGCTTGTAGATTCACCAGCATTAATTTGAGGGGGGATGTCAATAGAATTGATGAGCAGAATATTTGGCATTATTTGTGCAGATTTGTAATTATATCCTTAATTAATTAGCCAGCTGTAGGTTATGATTTGTAATTATATCCTTAATTAATTAGCCAGTTGTAGGTTATGATTATGTAATTATATCCTTAATTAATTAGCTAGCTGTAGGTTATGATTGTATAGTTATGATTGTGTAATTATATCATACTATTTAAATGAGAATTCTCCAAAGGAGAACATAAGGTTTTATCCCAATTTCTCTAAGTTTAACAATTTCTTCATAAATCTAGGTGAACAAAAATCTAACCATCATACAATATAAGTATACAAATTGAAATAAATTCAATTCATAATCAACATACTATAAATTAGAAAAATCCATAGTCAATACAATTGAATATAAGACAATTATAAATACTCACCTTCACTTTTTAAGTTGTGTTTGAGACACTATTTCAAGGAAGAGACAAGACAAGCATCTTTGACTTTTCTATAAAATAATTTTTAGACAAAAACCCTATTTTGATCCCTTACTAATGCTTTCATTCTCAATTTAGTTTATGAAATTTAATTTCTCATTAATCAAAGTTGGCCACAATTTAATCCCTCTGTTAACACATTGATAGTAGTTAAATACTTACGTGTGACTAATAAGATCTTGTATGGCATCACAGACAACACTATTTTTCTATCCACCGATATCTCAGTAAGCATTATTTATCTCTCATAAGCAACATCATCCTCATTCTACTCTTCTCTCTTTCAACTCTCTGTTGCGATCTTGCCCCTGCCTTCCCTCCTCCATCTCTTGCAGTTGCAAGTTGCAACGTAACTTCTTGGTCGCAACCGAATCCCCTAGGTGCAGATTCCAATTCAAGCAATAATGAACCTCTAAATTCAATTGAAGAAATGAGTGTAGACAGAACTATTGCTGAAACTTCCAACTCTTTGATATGAAATGTCATTGGGGAATTGAATTTGTAGGTTGACGAGGTCACGAGGGAAAGAGTGAGGAAGTGGTGGAAAGACAAGGAGCAAATGCAATAAGACGAGGTTATGCAAGGTTACCAATATTGGTGTTCTTTGTTGGTTTGTAGGCAATGGGGAAAAAAGGAATCAAAAAGGCTTTCTCTGATTTCCTGAATGGGTGGCCTTTATGGTAGCACCAGAGGCATTTGACAAATGCTGAGGCTCACGCGAATCACCATGATGCCACCAAACAGAGTGCTCTAATTTGTTGAAATCAACAAGCACAGGTTTGAGTGACATTTCAAAATGATAATAGAAATCACAATGAAGTATTGGATAGAAGAAAATTTGAATATTCTAATGGAAAATTAAAAATAAGATATTGAAGAATGTAGGTAGCACATAGAATAACTTTCAGTTTTGTTTTTACCCAGAAAGTAGATAAATTCAGCCAAACATAATAGCCCCTAGTTCTTTTAGCTGCAACTACAACTGCAAGTGTGGCATAAACAAGTATACATATTTCTTAACCCAAAATATAAAAAGGAGTTAAATGCTGACTGAGAGAGACGAGTTAAAAAATGCTGACTGAGATGCCATAAAAGATCTTAAAGCATTACTAATGGTGCATTAACACATGAATTAAAATGAGGCCAATTTTGTTTTTGAGGGACTAAATTGAGAATGAAAGCCTCAGTGGGGGACCAAAATTGTGTTCTTGCCAAATTTTTATCAGTTACTTTTAGTCAAGTGAGAATTAGTAGGAATTTCAACTTATTAAAGGGCCATATTGGAAATGTACTATTTTTTAGGGAACCACCAACTTAAAATAACAAGAATAGACAAGAAAATTTTTGGAAGTTGCCCCCTTTCTCCCACTCTGCCACTGCATAGGATACATATTTCCAATTAAATTGACATAAATTGCATGCAATCTGTAGTTCTGTACTTGTTTTATTAACCTTACAAAGAAGCAACCACTTACCACACTTGATGGAATGATAGATAGTCCAAATGAATCAAGCTCAAGTTCTTCAACAGCACCTGAATTGATGCTGAAAGTGTACCCACGCACCTAAAAGTTAAGATTTCCATAATTATATAATTGGAGATAGATAAACTGGTGAAAACATCATGGGGCAAGAAACATATAATCACCTTTCCAATATTACGTTGAGAGGGCGTTAAAACTTTGTATCCAACCTAGCAAATACAAAGAAATTAAGATATTTCCTAACCAGGGTCAATTCGAGAGACGTAGTAAAGGAGCCAAGATTGACACCAGAAAATCCATGGAATCACTTTCTATGATAACTAATTGAAAATGGGGAAAAGAAAGGCTGAGGAAAAAATCATATACAGGTACTGGTATTTTGGATAAGAGTATGGAAAACCATAACTTCCACAAAAGATCTCTTTTCAATCTTCATATTGATAAAATATAACTGGTCACAACTAGTCATTATTGATCTTAAGGAGAAATAAGATAACTCCATTTTACTAGTAAGTAACTGAATCAACTATCATTTACAACATGATAATTCATTATAAAAAATTACCAAGATTGGGAAAAGGGTCCTCTGACATTTTTTGTTTGTGATACCTTCTGATCTCATTGAACTTAGCCAATTACCAAGAACCAATTCTTGTTGTTTTTAGCTTTTAATAATTGATTGCAACTTCTTTGGTTTTTTTAATATTGTTTTCATTCTCCCCTTATCTTCTTAGCTGTTTGAATTATGTTGGGCTTCTCTCTCTATCTCTCTTTTTTATGATACCTCATAGCATCGATGATGAAATTCAGTATACTTCGTACACTCATAAGAATCACATCTACTAAACTCCTAATGTTAGTTTAATGGTTCAGTGACTTCCCTCCTCACCAGAAAAAAGAAATCATAATTTCAAGCTAACCAGCAGCCAACTCAAATGCGAAATTTATTTTCAAATTTTATTTGAAAAATTCATTAAAGTTATCCAGTGTCAAGCACTGCCAAGCTAAGTTTCCTAACTCCACTACTAATATTAGCTAGAAAATAGAACCCTATATTGCCACTGGATAATCAATGGGAGGACATGTTGAGAAATATAAAACCATTAAAAAAATCTCACCCACCAGCTTAAGCTTTTGGGTTGAAGTGGTTCTTTACAAGGTATCAGAGCCTCGTGTCCCGGGTTCGATCCTCGCCGCCCCCCACTGTCTTTCAAGTGGAATTTCTTTGTTCGTACAGGTAGGTGGGTCTGTGCATTGTCCACCCTTCAAGCCCAGTGGGCTTTCGTGTGAGGGGGCGTGTTGAGATATATAAGATTTTGGGTTGAATTGGTTCTTTACAGGACATATTGAACACATTCAAATAAGATTTTTGAGATCCACATTAACATTCAAATAGAGAAATTTACTCATCAGCAAGAAGAAAAAAAATATCCATCAGAGCGGGGATTATGTTCTCCTTACCAAGTCCATACGAACAACTAAAACATCAGATCATATTAAATATTAACATAATTTACAAACCATGGGAAGAAAATCCCCTGCTATAAGCCGTGATACTTTAGGCAATATAAAAATTTCCCTCTAATGCATGATTTGAGTCTTTGCATGAAACATAATTATCTGCATTGTTTCAGCAACACTTCAGAGTTTAAGTACCACATATAATCAAAGAAGACTTGTTATCCATATTCTGCCAGACAATGAACTCCACCAGTAAATCATGTGAAAGAAAATAACTCACAAGTTCGAGTCATATAAAACAGTAAAACATACCAGTGTCTCCAATCCAACCATTTTAAATTCGTTGTCTATCACACTTTCATCCTGGACAAGGACAACATCCCCAACCTGAAAAAGGAACAGGCAGAACACTCAATAAAGTGAAATACTCAAGAAGTCACTAGCTGGCAAAGCAACAAGGTACACCATATTTATTATTAGCAGTTCAATACAGCCACAAGACAAAGTTACAAAACCATGCAGCAAATTTGCCATCAGGACATACAATACATTGGAAATTCCAAACAAAAAGATTTAGAAGCACCCCCATAATTCACTGGTATCTGACCTAAAAGATCATCTTTCATATTATTGCAGGCAAAATAACTCCCCAGAAGCAACATAAAGTAAACGTAAGGGTAAGTAAAATAATTTTTTGTTTTTTTGGATACATTATGGGTATCCTGCACGGGAGGCAATCCTGTTCAAGCCGAAAACATCCACATCATGGTAGGGCTAGCTCTTCCAAAGGAGATATTTTGCATTCACAAGAACTTGAACCCAAGACCTTGCTTAAGTAGAATCAAGTATGTACCACTTGAACTAACTGCCTTTGGTGTTAAGTAAAATATGTTTGAAGCAAGCATATACACAGTCAACTTAGAATATGATCAATCCTACTAAATCAGAAAAAGATAAGCTCTTTTGACCCCAAACCTGTTATATACCTGACTAATATCCTCCAGAAGAAATTTCTCTGAATCCCCAGAAAGCAAGTTTGGCCTCACCTCTACAAATAACACCATCCACTGGAAATGAAATTCACCAAAAACTTAAAATAAACAAACAAACAAATTACTTAGTCCCACAAATAGATATCATATCAGCAAAACAAACAAATGTCATAAATAAATTCCAAAAAAAGTTTGCTTTTCCAAATACAGACTAACAAAATGCACAAAAACCAAGATTCTGCTATTATTTCCATGACTCACAGAGTTGGTGTCCACCCAAAGCTGCGAGATGAATCCCAAGCTAAGAGCAGAGCGAATGCTGATCACTTGCTTCGCCAACAAATTCGACCTCTTGATTACCTGTTTACCACTTCTGAATCTGAGTTTACCATCAAATTTCTCAACTTTATCATCTTTTTTCAAATCAACACCATCATCATCATCATCACCCAGAAACTGAACCAAATCATCCTCTCCCAAATTGTTCTCGCTCTTTCTGTTTTCCTTATTATCACCATCCCCAGAATCCAACCCAACAAATGGGACAGACCCAGTTTCACTAAGCGAACCTTCGTCAACAGGGTTTCTCTCCAACCCAAAATTCTTGGCCTTTCTGTCGTCAAATTCAAGTTCGTTGTAAAAGCTATAACCCCTTGATGACCTGGAGCTCAGTGCCGCAGAAACGCTCTTGTTACCACCGGTTTTGGGTAGCTTGGGAGAAAAGAGGGCATGGGAATTTGGGTTGAGTTGGGGTCTAGTTGTAAGAAGGGTTGAGCATGAATTGAGAAAGAGGAATCTTGGAGATTCTGCAACTGAAATGGCAAGATGGTTCGTAGCAAGAAACTCAGTCATAGTGAGCAATTTTCCAGTATTAGCATACGGTGACTGTGCTGAACTCAGAAGAAGCATAATGGATATGAAAAAGCTGTAGAAAAAGAAAACTATTCAGAACATGCTTTGTCTATTTTATTTTATTTAAAGTTAAAAGGATAGTTTTAAGTTACAGTTAAAAAAAAAAAGAAGTTAAAAAATGCAACTAAAAATTATTTGATGATTATATAAAATTATTCTAATAGTTTTAAAATTTATTATTAGGATGAAGTATTAAGATAAATGATAAAATTTATAAATATAAATTTAGAAGAAAAGTAAAATAATAAAATAAATTTGAAGAGTCAAAAAAGCTGGCACACATTTAAGAAAAAAATCTCCTCTTGATTTTTTTTCATTATAAAAGAAATATTTTTATAAAATATGTTTGGCTAAACTTCTACTCTTAAGAAGATGCGAAATAGGCGCGATGCATGATTAAATTACATGTATCTTTTAGGAAATTAGAGTATTACAATTTATTATCATTTTGTTTTTGTTTTTAGATGTAGGAGGTAGATTAGCAGTAATAAGTTTGTGGATTGAAAAAAGGAATGCAATATTATGTTTATTTTTTTATGTTTATTTTATCTATTTTTTTTAACACTGTTAGATCAAAATCTTAAGAGAATAATAAAAGAGTGAGAGTTAGTTGATATTCTGATCTAACAATATTAGATATGGGTAGATATAAATAGGCATGAAAAAAAGAAGCACAATATCCTATCTTTTAAAAAAATTATTATTTTTTATTTTGGTCCATTATTTTATTAGTTATTTTAACCGTACTCAGTTTTTTAAAATAAGTTGAGTGTAATTAATGAAATTTCAAATACTTATTGTGAAAATCAACCTATAATAAAAAAATTACGATGGAGTGGCTAATATGTGGATTAAGTGTTATATGTTTGTTGCAGTTTAATTAATGGTCATGAGTTTGAGTCATGGCTATAAAATTGTCTTCAAAATTTGACGAATTTTTTTTTTTATCACTCTAATGGTCTGAACCGGATTAAAAGAGTAAGGTAGTGTTTGGTTGAAGGATTATTTTGGGATTGATGGGAAAATGTAAGTGGATATTAGAGAATACCACGTTTGGTTCAGGTTTTTTCAAAAAATACTAGACAAATGGGATAGATAGGGAAATGACTTTTGTGTTGATTTTTGGATGAAATTCACTGTTACAGAATACCACTTGAGATGTGGTATTTTGAGATAACTGAGGAAGTGAAAAAACAGGTGCGAAGTTTCTCCCGAACATAGATTTTGCAAATTTAAATAAATTTCCCTGGTAATATTTCGGTCAACCAAACAACTTTTTTTACATTTTCCTATCAAACTCATTTTCCAACTATTTCCCTAGTAATTACATATTTCCCTAGTATTTAAAAAATTTCTCCTCAACCAAACACCCCATAAAAAGAATTTTGGGAATTAGAGATGAGATCTAAAATTCAGCTCAGGAGAAGAAATTTGGGCCATGGCTTTGGACTGAGCAACCAAGATGTCGTATTGATCATATATACTAATCCCAGAAGCTAGAAAGCTCAAATCTACTGCTGAAAGAACTATATGATCACATGAAGGTCCTAATTGGATCCTAATGACACAATCATAATATCTATCAATCACTGCAAAGAGATACACATTTTAATAGGTGACATAATTGCATCTAAGATCACATTTGTTCTGCTAGATTTGGAACCTAGGTGACATAATTGCTTCCCTAACCTTTTTTAGAGCAATTTCTTGCTCAAAATCTGGTCAACGCTGCTGAAAAACGATGTGTATGAGCCAAGCTTTTACAATTTTTTATAATGTATAAAATATATTTTAAAATAAATTAATATTAGTGGTAATCGAATAATGATCCACACCTAATTCTCGAATATAACATACACACCAAAGAAGAACATAAGAGGCATATTCCCAATTTCCCAAACGCTACGAGAGAGAAGAGTCCACGGAACAAGTGGGGCCAAAATCCACTTGGTCAAACTCAACCAGTTAAATATCGACACGTGTCCTGGAATAATAAAAGAGAACCATGAAAGATGCTATAAGTGGCGACGCGAATGGCTTTCCACAAAAATCATAAAATATTCTTGAAAACAGCCTCTTCCTCCAACGCCTCTTCCCTGCAACCTTCCCTGGTAACTCTCTTTCTCTCTCAATCGATATCGATTTCGGTTTTTTAATTGCATCATGCAAGTTAGATTTTATTTTAATTGTGCTTATTAATTGTGTCTGTTTAGTTTATTTATTGTTTTCATTATAATAACCCTCGTTTCGTTTTAGCCTTTCGATCCGTGATTCTTATTTGGGATTTTTTCAGTTCGATTTCGATATCTACTGTCTTGCCATATAAATAATCGTTTTGTTAAGGTTTTATTATCCCGTCGTGTTTAATTCCAAATGATACTTATGTTAGTGGTGTTTGTATTCATGATAATTATGTGTATTTATTTAGGTTTATGCTTGGTGGTTAATTCTCTTTGAATGTTTTAATGTCTTATTATGGCAGTGATGTTATGGTATAATGATTAGATTAACTTATGGTTGTGTTTGTCCGTGTGTTATCTATTTATTTCATTTTGTTTCCTTTTTTTTTTTATTCTTTTTGGTGGTGAGTTGAAATGCAGATTGTTAATTGGATCTTCATGAGTTCAAAAACCACTGGAGCATACTTGGTTTCCTGTGAATCGGGAAACAAGAACAACCTCTTCTGCTGGATTTTGGTCTGCTTGCTGCCGAAATATTTGGGAACTCCGTTTGCCTACATTAACTTTCTCTTGATTCAAGCCATTGATAGGAGTCCATCAGCAGTGGGGGTATTGGGGAACTTCGGGGCGATTAATCTATTATAGTCTTTGTTGGTTTTGGTCATCAGCATATTTAGATCCCTTATTTTTCGTTGAGTGGTGAAAAATGGTTTCCTCTCAGTTTTCTGGTTTCGCGTACAAACCATTGCAGACTCAGTTTCTCTTTCCTGCGAACCTTCCTGATTCAGTAAACACGGATCATATTGAGCTAGATTTCTCTGATGTATTTGGTCCAGTTGCGGTTCCGACCTCAGTAGAAGTGAATAACGATGATTCCACTGATGCTGAGCCTGCAGAAGAATCAAGTGAGCTGGTTTATGATGACCCAGCTGTCATTTACACCCGCTCACATTCTCTGGTTGGCCCTTCTAGTTGTGTTAGTCAATCTCTGAAGCTTGGCAAACTCACCATACATGAGACTGAGGATTCATTGGAACTAGTGGACCATGTCACTCGGGAGATCATTAAAGACGTCAAAGAATCTTCCTTTGACAATGTTATCATCGAGGAATCTTTGAAAGATGAAGATGGGAATCTCATGAAGATCCAGAGAGTTAGCATTGAAGATTTTGAGATTTTGAAGGTTGTGGGGCAGGGTGCATTTGCAAAGGTATACCAGGTTAGGAAAAAGGGTACTTCAGAAATATATGCCATGAAGGTAATGCGGAAGGACAAAATTGTGGAGAAGAATCATGCTGAATACATGAAGGCTGAGAGGGACATTTTGACAAAGATAGAGCACCCCTATATTGTACAACTCAGATACTCTTTTCAGGTAGTTATTTTCAATTATGTAAGAAGGTTATGTAGCTTCTCTTCTGTTTTTATGATGATTTCTCTTTAATGATGTAGCTTTTCAAAATGCAATGAAACTTTCATTTGATTTCTTCCCACTTTATTGTCTGTCAATTTCAATTGTATATGTTACCCAAAATCTAAATGAACAATATGTTAGTTTACGGCATGTATTTTTTGGATTACTTTGTATCTGGAATTGTGTTCTTTGTAAGTAAAATACTTTCTCTTGGTAATTTGCTTATAGTACAAAGTGGTCTCCAATAATAGAAATTAAAAGTGATGTGTTCTGCATATATTGTTTCAGACAAAATACAGATTGTATCTTGTTCTGGATTTCGTAAATGGGGGCCATCTCTTCTTTCAACTTTATCACCAGGGACTTTTCAGGTAAATTTGGACTTTGGATTTGGCTTTTTCTTCTTCTTCTTCTTCTTTTTTAATGTTTTAAATTTGAAGCATTAATATCTGGTTCTATTCTCCGTCTTTGCATATTCAGAGAGGATCTAGCCCGCATATACGCAGCTGAGATTGTTTCTGCAGTTTCGCATCTCCATTCAAATGGAATAATGCACAGGGATCTAAAACCTGAAAACATCCTACTAGATGCTGATGGCCATGTACTGTCTTCTTTCAGTTGTGTTTTTCATAGTGACTTTCAGCCCTGCTTTGTACATGTAATAACTGAAATGAGATTTATTTGTGCATCTACTAGGTTATGTTGACTGATTTTGGCTTAGCAAAACAATTTGAAGAGAGTACAAGATCTAATTCAATGTGTGGAACATTAGAGTACATGGCACCTGAAATTATTCTTGGCCAGGGCCATGACAAAGCTGCTGATTGGTGGAGTGTAGGCATCCTATTGTTTGAGATGCTTACTGGAAAGGTTTGCGCCTTGTTTCTTGTAAATTTTTACCATTGGTTGTTCATTTGGATCTTCATAGTTAGACGTTTATTTACTGTGGGTAGGATGGTCTGTTTACTTGCATGTTGAGTAAAAATTTCACTTGGTGGACTTATGTTACGACTCATGTTATATCTCGGACACCTGGCAGTTAGTCAATTAGTAGTTGTGGACTATTCATTCTATTGAGGGCTTTAATTACAGCTATGGGTAGTTAGTAACACCCTATTAGGAAGTTAGGCAGTTAGATGTATTGGAGGAATTTACAGAATGTGTATGAAAGGGGCATAGTTCCCATTGTTAGTTACTCTCTTTGAAAGCTACATGTTTCGACCTATTCTAGAAGAAAGATATTTGACTATTATACGCTGTCTGATACCAGAATACCAGGCTGAATTTAAGTCATTTACATGCTAATCTTATATTTTATTTCTCTCCATGGACTTCTTTTAAATGGCATTTTTTAGCAGCGTCTTTGTAGCTTGTTCAAATTTTCCATTTCTATGGCAGCCGCAGTTCTTATGAAGTTATGATTGCTAGGTTCATTAAATGTCTAATTGGCCTTAGGATTTTAGTGTACCTTCTTAATTGATGGTAAAATGCTAAAACATTCTTTTTATTCAATAATACAATTCTCATATCTTTAAAGGGTAATTATGTTATCCAAAAAAAAAAAAAAGGGTAATTATATAAATGTTCTAATAAATTTAAATGCTCTCAAGCTTGGAAGCTGAGTCAACTGAAGCTCCTGGGAGCTGGCTTATTGAATGAGCTTAAAAGTTCACTCAGCTTAGTTAGAAGCTTATTAGTCTCTTGGCTCACTGATAATTTTACCACTTTCCTCAAATTAAAGGGAGAAAATAAAGGAAGGGGAGATTGTCTGTCATTTTTGGGAATTCTTACAACAATATCATCACAGATATTATTGGTTCATTGTTTTGTTATAGTAGTACTATATGCTTGTAAGTTGTGATGGCTTCGGTACTATATAACTGCTATGTCCTTTTGGAGTTGCTAAATGACTGTTTCTGTTGTTTCACCTCCTCTGAAGCCGCCCTTCTGTGGTGGGAACCGTGAGAAAATTCAGAAGAAGATAGTCAAAGACAAGATTAAGCTGCCAGCATATTTGTCAAGCGAAGCTCATTCACTGTTGAAAGGGGTAATAACTAGTACACATAGAAGATATTTCCTTTGGTTATCCTAGCACAAACACAACATCATCTGAAATTATATATGACTATTTGGCACATAATAAATTGTCCATAACTTTTGTGTATTCAATTACTACTATCAATTTAGGCATACCTGTATGTGTCAATTGCCCTACATTGAGGGGTCTGTGCATAACTAGGGTTTCATTTAAGCATGATAACTAATGTATGTATTGTGAAGCTTTTCTTCCATGGACTTTAAAAGGCTCAAGTTTTTTCATATAACGAATTCATTCTTTTTTTTTTTTTTTTAAATTATGTTCAAAATTTATCTTCTTTACAAGAAATGGCAAGTCTTTGATTCACTTTTTTTAGCTTGCCTGCTATTATATATTGCTAATTTGCTAGTTGACATAAACTAAATAAAGATGATTTATCCGTTACAGCTGCTACAGAAGGAGGCAAGTAAACGCATTGGTAGTGGACCTAGGGGGATTGAGGAAATTAAAGGCCACAAGTGGTTTAAACCAATCAATTGGAAAAAGTTGGATGCACGAGAAATCCAACCAAGCTTTCGACCTGAAGTAGCTGGGAAGCACTGTGTTGCCAACTTTGAGAAGCGCTGGACTGATATGCCTGTTGTGGACTCGCCAGCAGCCAGCCCAAATGGTGGAAACCCCTTCAAGGACTTCTCTTATGTGAGGCCTGCGGCATCTTTTCTTCACAACAATAGCCCTGCTTACTAACTTGACACCTTGCGTTGGCATTGGCTTAAGATGGATGCACATTTTCTATAATAGTTTTCTTCTTATGAGGTAGTTGCATGTATTTGGGTGCGTGAACAGTGGTACAGTGTCACGGGAATTCCCAACAAGGAACATTTTCTTGTGACCTTAGAAGTTGTGTGAACTTTGCAGGTTGTGAGTTTCTTATTTAGTGCCTTGCGGCTCTACAATTGCGTTGAGCTGACTTGCTAGAACTTGTGATGTGGAGAAAATAAATTGCTTTATGCTATACACTTTTAAAAAATACGTAGTATCTTATATCTGGGACTTAAACTGCTAAACTCGTCTTTACTTGCCTTTCATAAGAATTAAGTGTTCTCAACCAGTTTTATAATTTAGAAATAAAGGTTTAACATATGATTATGATTACTTGTAAATTTTTAGTTATCATCTCTCTAAAGTCTAAACTGTTGTGCGGCAAGCTCTGCTGTCTTGATCGTAGAACAATTTGTTTCCTTAATGTTTGATTGACGGTAAAATGTAGGTTTGGGATCATATTAAAGCAATTTGACCGTAAGTACTGAACTGTCACGCGGGTGGCGTAGTATATAAATTTTAAATGTTGATTTCTTTCACGCAGTTATAATATATTACGTCAAATTTATTAATTAATTAGTAATTTTTAATAATTTTTTTTAAGTTTGACACATGTGTCAAAGGATTATATATATATATATATATATATATATATATGAGAGATTAATGTTTCTCATGTTTTAGTATCTACTAAATATATAAAAATGTGTGGGAATCTCCTCTTCACATGGTCCCATATGAAACTCTCACATTTTTATATTCTCATATATATATATATATATATATATATGGGACATGATCATCTTACACCGATGTAAGAATAATAAATCTTACACCAAATCTTAACCTTTGATTTTCTGCATCTAACGGTTAAGATTTATTAGGTCTCATTTATTAATTAATTTTTAATTCTCAATAAATCTCAACCGTTTGATACACGGAAATCAACGGTTAAGATTTGGTGTAAGATTTATTATTCTTACACCAGTGTAAGTTGATCCTATCTCTATAGGATATTCTTACACCGGTGTAAAAGTTAAAAGTCTTACACTCAATCTTAACCATTGATTCACTTGTATCCAATGTCTCACACTTTATTTTCATAATCTATTTGCTTTCTTGATGATTTCTTTTCTACTTATTTTATTATTATTATTATTATTTTATGGGGCAGGATATTCTTACACTGGTGTAAGAGTTAGAAGTCTTACACTCAATCTTGACCATTGATCCACTTGTCTCCAATGGCTCACATTACTAAAAAATTTGAGCCCTTAGATATAAATGGGATCAGTGGACAAGATTAAGAGTGTAACTTACACTGGTGTAAAATGATCCTAACCCTTATTTTATATATGCAAACAAATTGTTTGACTTTCTTGGATCAGGTTTCAGATTATTTTGAACCAACAAAATGCATAGAAAAGGAGGATAAAGTAAGCAGAAACAGATGGCCAAAGAGCTACCTCTGCTGACACGTTTATTATTTTATTTATTTATTTATTTATTTATAGTTTATAGTTTTATGAGAAACAACCAACGTTGCTGTGAGGGAGCAGCATTGTCTTGTCTGGAAATAACGGTCATGGCTTCCTTGCTCCACACAACTGCAACTATACTTCAACATAATCATAAAATCTGCTTCTTTCCTCTGAAACTCACTACCCCAAATCACATTTCTTTCTTAACTAACCGTTTCAAGAGTAACTCTGCAAAGTGCAATGCATTTTTTGATAACATCCCCAAAGACTTGTTGGAGAACACTTTTTGTCTGCACCACTTTCCTGTTTTTCGATCAGTGTTAGTGAAGTTTCAGAGTGTAAATGAAGACTTATCAGACATGCAGAGGTGGGGTTTTGTGATTTTTTCTGGGCTGACATGGATTTACTTAACTGCAAGGCCAGGTGTTCTTGTTGCAGCCATTGATGCATTCCTTTTGGCTCCTACGCAACTGGTTTTGGAAAGCTTATCTGGAAGGAGAAATCTCAAGAGGACTGATTTTCTTATTGTTGATAAGATAGGAGAAGGATCATTTGGTGTTGTTTATTCAGGTGTTTTGGTACCAAAGAATGTGGATGTAGAAGAGATGATGCAGAAGAGTGGAAGAGGCAAGGTGACAAAGTTGGATGCTAAATCTAAGGACAAAGTCATTCTTAAAAAGGTGTCCTTAAGATGAATTTTCCAATGCTTACTTAGCCATTGAGGTCATTCTTAGAACGGTGCTATCCTGTGGTTTTCAATTCATTTTAACTAAATTGATACTATTTGCTGATCTTGTTTCTTAATTACCTGTACTTGAATGTTTTGTTTCTGTCCTGCATCTTTTGGGTTTGAAAATGAGTATAATTGTGTTAAGCATATTTTCATTCAACAATCATGATAATAAGGGAAAATACTTTGTCATACTGTTAAATAATGCAAATGAACTAGATTTTTATTTGAGAGTAGGGGGAATTTAGTTGGTCTATTCAATCAACTGTATAAACAGTATCAATCACCTTACTCACTTCCAATCTTATAAGGGATAGGATAATTGATGAAGAAGAATTGGACATCTCCTGAGAAAAGGAGTCTTCTTACTATTTCTTTCTTTCTCCGCAAGTTTTCTTTGATTTTGGAGGATTACAGATCCTTTTGTTCAATATTTCCCCCCCTTGATAGTTTCTTCTTGTATTAATGAAGAGGAAATAGATATCTAGATGTTCATATGTTCTTAATTGAACCCTCAACCCCTCTTTTTTGTTGGTAAATTACAAACTTATGCACGGAATCAGCTTATCATTTCTCAACTTATATATGATGTACTTCTTGTTCCTTTTCTGTTTTTAAATAGATTCAGGAGCTGACTGATGGAACATGCAGGTTAAGGTTGGAATTGAAGGAGCTGAAGAATTTGGTGATTTTGAGGAGTGGTTTAATTACAGACTCTCTAGAGCAGCTCCTGAAGCATGTGCTAAGTTCCTTGGAAGTTTTGTAGCTGATGAAAACAATTCACAGTTCACAAAAGGTGGAAAATGGCTTGTTTGGAAGTTTGAGGTGCCCTACTTGTTATTCCTATTAGATAAACTACATGCATAGATTACCTATGCATGCACTAATTAACTCTAAGGAGTTTTGTAACTATTTTGTTATGGTGGTTTTAAATGTTATCATGAATATATCCAAAATATCTATCTGGTTTGTCCCTTCATTTATTTAAATGAATTGCATAAATTAAAGCATGCACATAAGCTCAAAATATATTTTAAGATATGCCAACTATTCTATACACTAATTGCAGGGTTGTCCATTTCACAGGGAGGTCGCTCTCTTGCTGATTACATGGCAGATAAGAACTTTCCTTCAAACTTAGAGTCTGTCATGTTTCGACGTGTCTTGCAAGGTGTAGACTCTTCTAAACGAAATGCATTGATCATCAAACAAATAATGCGTCAGATCATCACATCTCTTAAGAAAATTCACAACACAGGCATTGTTCACAGGGATGTTAAGCCTTCCAACTTGGTGGTTACCAAAAGGGGACAGATTAAACTCATTGATTTTGGTGCAGCAACAGACCTGAGGATTGGAAAGAATTATGTTCCCAGTTATGCCCCTTTGGATCCTGATTACTGTCCTCCTGAATTATATGTACTACCAGAAGAAACATCAAGTCTTCCACCAGAGCCAATTGCAGCTTTTCTTTCACCAATCTTGTGGCAGGTTTTATTGCTATACCCTACTTATGTATTCAAAATTAAGTTTTTTTTTCAAGGGTGTCACTTTGTTAGTTTTAGTAAAACAATATAATACTGGCTTCAACAATTTTTAGAATTAGTTAAATTAGTGTATAGGCCAAGATGTATTCACAAATTCACAGACAATAAAAATTCTTTGGAGGATTTCAATATAGGAACTCTTAGTGAAGGTGCTTCTGCTTTAGGAATGTCAAATTAACTAGATGATTGTTTTAAGCACACCTTGACTTAATTAAATACCCTTTTTCCTAATGTTCCCAAATTAGAAATATCTTCACTATGATTTCTAAATCGCGCTATGCCTAAATTCTTCCTTTTACTGTAGTTTTCACTTCAGCTAGAATTTCCAGATTGTGGTATCATTTACTACTAAATCAGTATGGTCTCATTTTCTTCAAGCAAACACACTTTTCATTGTGTATGCATTATGCTCTTGCCTGCTTGTTAGAAAAAATTAGAAAGTGCTAAATGGAGCTGTGTGAATACCATTGCAGTTAAATAGTCCTGATCTGTTTGATATGTATTCTGCTGGGATTGTACTCCTGCAAATGGCAATACCAAGCTTAAGGTCTTCATCTGGTTTGAAGAATTTCAATTTGGAAATAAAAACATATGGATATGATTTGAACAAATGGAGGGACTCTACTCGCTTAAAGTCTGGTTTCCAAGTTCTTGATAGTGACTATGGTAGAGGGTGGGACTTAGCAACAAAACTTATCTCAAAGAGAGGTTCCCAAAGAAGAGGACGTTTATCTGCTGCTGCTGCTTTGAGGCATCCTTATTTCCTTCTTGGTGGTGATCAAGCTGCTGCAGTACTTTCAAAATTAAGCTTTAGCACAAAGTGAGTTTCGTAGCAATGTTATATAAGTATATTTGTCCCATTTTCTGATGTTATACACGTAAACTTGAGAAGATCTTGTTGGATTCTAAAAATGTATCTAGAGTTGTAAGCTCCAATGAAAAATCACAAGGTTCATTTCATCAATATAAATATAAATATATATATATATTTTTGGAGAATATCCCTCGGTAATCTTATAGGTTCCCTGTGGACTAATCCATAGTTCGGGACAGGTTCAGTATTAAGATTTTAAACCCTTCCCAAAGATGATACTGGTGAGAATCGAACACATGTTGTTACTCTCACCTGCTCAGCTTCTATCCTCAACTGAGTTACCATCATTTCACTGCTGGCTCGTTACACTTGATGACAAAAACCCTCCTCCTTTATCCTGACTTAGGACAGGCCATACATGTATGCACATATAGGTGGAGTTTATCTAGAGTTGTAAGCAAAGTAATTAAATTTGAATATGAAAACAAACTTAATTAATTAAACAGGATGAAAGGGGATGCTTTATGCTAGCAACTTGCACTTTATATGCAGTCTTTTGCACCATATATGAGGTGTGGTAACAACTGTTCATTCAAAAGATACCTATTTATTTTTGCTCTTATGATGGGTGAGAACCATGTCACTGTTAGTTGAAGGCTTGAAGCTTTATGTGGCAATATTGTTACAAAACATCTATTGTCTTCAGGGGGAGCTCATTTGATTTGGATACAAAGTTGTCCCATCCGAAGGCCCAACAAATTGTATGAATTAACCAGCAATATGAGTACATGGACTGATTTGGGTTTAGGCCTTCTATATTGAAAGGCATCTATGAATACTGATTAGTGATAACGACCAATTTGACACATTTTGTAGAAAATAAAAATAAAAATACAATACACTATGGTCCCCAAGTAATTTTGTATGATTTTTTTTTTAATTACTGTGAGGACTCATTAATGTTTAAAGAATTAAATTAAAAACTTAATCAAATTATATATACTAAGGTTGGTAGATAATCATAATCCGTCTTCTAAAAATTCAGTTCAACACAACAGAACACAGATATATAATATAAATGGTCAAAAAACAAAAGATGTATAATATAGAGTACAGTTCAGCATTGAGATCAGAAACCGCGTGCTGGCTAACCCACTTGCAAATCAAAACATGAAAGTCATCGCCACAATAATCACCATGGAAGTTTCTTTCTTTGGATCGGACGTGGCAAGCACTTTATACCACGTGACACTCATTGATACGTAAATAGATTTTGAGACCCTTTTGTTTTCCTTTTCTTCTGTCAGAATCTGATACATTCCTGTTGTGTAGGTATATAAATGATCATCGATTCTAGCTATAAATTATAATGTTCTATGTTATAACATAATAAAGTACAATTTGATTCTTGATTATTTTAAGGGTTTTATAATTCTCATGTAATATAAAAATAAAAATTTTCTTACACACCCTTCAATTTCCGTATTAAAATGAGTCTCACACATGATTTTCTCTAGGGAAAAGTTCACCAATGCCCCTGTGATTTACTCTAGAATCACTTATATTCCTGTGATTTTTTTTATCACATATATCTTTGTGATTTGCAAAAGGGTATGTTTTTTTATCACATATGCCCCTGTGATTTTTTATTTTTTACAAAGCACAGGGGCATATGTGATAAAAAAAAACTACAGGTACATAAATAATTCTGAAGCAAACCACAGGGGCATTGGTGAACTTTTCTCTTTTTTCTAATATATGAGTCTCCCGTAATTTTTTGTCTCTTTGGCATAAGAATTTCCTTCTTATATAACATAAAAATTATAAAACCCTTATTTTAATGTACTTTAAACCAATTTAGAAAACGAGAAGAATTAAGGCTTTAAAATCATATTGGTATAAGTAATGCTTACAAATTTTGGCATCTTTTCAAAACAGTCACTAAAGGCTAAGGTAACTATCAAGTTTTAACACAATTATATTTCAGAGACTCAAACTCGAAATCACTGATTAAGTTGGAATAATTATTAAGTTGGAATAATCCCTTACCAATTGATTCACTTGCTTGGTGGTAAGCTCTTTTGTCTTTAATTACAGATATTATCACTGAGATTAACTCTTTTGGCAACAAGAAGGACAACACTTGCCTTATCTGCATTTAAACCCTAATCATTTCTTAGTTAGACTCACTTGATACCACACTCAACCAACGTGCAACCGTTGTCTTAAGCAAGATACGATGGTTAATTATAGAGTAAACACCCTTTTTGGGCTCCGGCAATATCTACAAAATCCTTTTTAGACCCTGGCAATAAAAAAGGACTAAATTAGTTCCTAAAATTATAAAAAAAGGGCCACGTTAGTTCTTATGTCAACTCCTCCGTCACTAACGTGGTCCTTTTTACATACTGTTAGGGACTAATTTGGTCCTTTTTTATTGTCAGGGACTAAAAAAGATTTTGTAGATATTGTCAGGGACCAAAAAAAATGTTTACTCTTAATTATATTAGGTATTATAAATTGATTAACATTACATATAAGTTTGTACCAATTCAAAGTTGGAGGCTTTCACTTTCAGATGCACGCCACTCATACATCCATACCCAAACTTGATTAATACTATATAAATAGCTTGTACTATACAAGAACCTATTTATTAGTATATTGTGTTTTAACCAACAAAAACACAACAATTTTTTTCTGGGAAATCTAAGTAGCTCCTTATCTTCTCCGAATTTGAGGTCTATTGTAGTTTCACAGTCCCTCCCTTGTTCCATCCTTTCTGTCTTAAGCAATCTAACACCACAGTTTTGTAGGTAATTTAATAGTGGCTTTTCTTTTTCTCCATTTGCATAAATAATCCCTTTTTCCCTTGTTTTCCTTCAGCTATCTTTCTCTTCTTTTCTTTTATTAATTTATTTTTGATGGGTTTGTTTTTGTTCCATGCAAAGTGATGGAAAGCTCACAACTTTAAATTTCAGATATAGAAATCATGTTATTACAAGCAAGCTGATACTTTATTGCCTTTCAGTGAATGAGCTACATTGTTTCTTTCTGTGTTTCTCAGCAACCAAAACCAAAATGTTGGAGTTTATTAACTTTGCTTTGCATTTTGGGAGCACTTGTGTCTTATGGCATTCTTGGTATGAGTGGATGCAAATTTGAAAAACAAACCATGTATCATGGCTAAATATACATGTCTAGTTTCTCTAATCAAGTGTTGCATACAGTTATGAGTCAATCTATGACTTGGCTATTGTTTTCTGTACTTTCTCATTTGTTCTTCTGAAACTGGTGGTCTTTCTTCTTTCAGGCTTCCATCATTAAACTCTTTAAGAGTTTGTGGCTTTCAAACAATTATATGGGGAATTGCGTGGTTAAGGTTAGATTATTTGGATATATCAATCATATTCTTTATTGCTATACTCAATAAAAGTTGAAAGCCTGAGGCCTTTCTCCTGTTCTCTCTGATAAACTGTTGATTTCAATAGATAGCATACTCTAAAAGAAAAATTCTTAATTCTTTATGCTTCTGGAACTGTGTAATCTATCAGTCTACATCATTCATTGGTAAGTAAATTAACAGAGAAGATTCATGTTTCTGATGCTCATGGCCTCAGGCTAAGGATAATGATTCTGATTATAATGTGGATTTTGCTGCTGGGAATGTGAAACTTATTACCACCAAAGAAGCTTGGGACCAAAAGTTGGAAGAAGCAAGGAGGGATGGCAAAATTGTAAGTTTTCCCTCTTTTTAGTCATAAAATTGTTGTGTTTTAAGTTTTGTTTCTTTTGATTGCTTTTAGTTTATTGTCAAGCTAATTTTGGATTCTGTTTCAATTATAATCCAAAAGCTAATCAAAATGTTACTGTCTTATTCCAACGTTGGTAATGAGTTGTAAGATTTTCTTTGTAAGTACCTGACCAAACAATGGGTTTGTTCTAATTCAGAATCAGGATATACCGTGTTTCACGACTATACGGGGTGTGATTTATGTGGCACTCACGCTTGAGTGAGGTGTGTCCAGTCATGCCCAATCCGAACATGACATTTTGTAATATATCTGTAAATAGTATCTGTACAGAATCTTGGGATACACCACCTCAAAAGCTAGCTCAAAGGGTGGGAGTGCCCAAGGCCTTATAAACTTCACATTAGTTGCACACATACAACCAATGTGGGACTATATATCTCAACACGCCCCCTCACACGAGAGCCCATTGGGCTTGAAAAGTGAACAATGCAACAGGCCCAGCCTACCTGTGCTAAGAAACGCCACAAGAGAAAGTGGGGGGGCGGCGAGGCTCTGATACCATGTAAAGAACCTTGGGATAAGGTATCAGAGCCTCGCCCACCCTTTGAGCTAGCTTTTGGAGTGGTATATCCCAAGGTTCTACAGTATGAAAACAACTATATATTTGTAATTATTTTTTTAAATTATAATATTTTAATTTTTTTTCCGCAGAATTTTCATGTTAAAAGGAAGACTAATGTTTAAGACTAATGGTGGACATGATAAGATAAGAACGGATAGGATAAGAGAGTTGAATAAGGGTATGATATAATATAGGGCTGATGAGCCTATATCATGTCCTGTGTTTGACCTGATTAGCAATCTGATAAGATTATGTTATCATATATCATGTGTTTGAGGCGAACCAGATATCATCATGATATGATACAAATAGACTAAAATACCCTTTTTAACATAATGTCATATAGTTTATCAAAAACTAAATTTTAAATTGATTTATACAATTCTAACAATTATAATTTTAAACAAAATATTTTTAATTAACTTTTTCACTCTTAAGACTTTTTCTCTCTCTTCAAGCGAGTATTTCCCTTTCTTTTTCCTTCCTTTGTTCCTTTCTTAAGTTTTTTTTTCTTTTGTTTCTTTTTTAAGTTCCATTGGCCAAATTTAATCACAAGAGGTTGTTGAGGATTCGGTCTCCGCCGACCACCGCTTGAAGACTCTTCCTCTTCTGCGTTTTTTTTCTCCCAAATCTAAGCCGCCATAAATTTGGGTTTTTTCTCCACCTGAATCGCTTCAATGGTGGAAACGTTTGTTTCCACTAATCTTATGCGTTTACACGTCGATCCCAACCAGTTTGAGAGAAAAAACGATCTCAAGTACGATTCAGATCCTGTTGGATAGCGTGGCGTAGGGATATACTGGATATCTAATATTGATATCCTATCATGTTGAATCTTAACCCAACTCACCCCATAGGATAAGAAATCATGTATTGTTGGATAGGATAAAATTAGACAATAAAATAAGCTAATCATATCCTATTGACCCACTAAACAAGATATAAGAGTAGGATATGATAAGTCATTCTATCATATCTTTTTTATCATGTGGTCCAAACAGACCCTAAGGATATAACATGATATTCTCAGTATTGGTGTGGGAAGACCGTGCAATGTACTATTGAGCCTTATAAAGGACAACATGACTTTGTCTCTCTTTTAACGTGATTTTACTTTGGCTAGTCTAATAATGGTTGCAGTGGTGGAGCAAGTGAGGGGTGATTGCCCTTACATTATATTTACACTTAAAAGAAAGAAAGTGTAATATTTTTCTCCTCATTATTATTCACGTAAGAAGAAAACTTGGAGAGTTCTTCAAATCTAAATACGTATCGATTTAGTATCGTGTTGCCTTAACTAAGTTAATATGAATTTTATTTTCCACATGTCACAAAATTTTCTTGCTCCATCAATGGTAGTGATGTAGAATTTGTGCTAACTAGGTATTAAGGTATTATCTTAATGTTGGTCAATAATCTCTCTGTGTGTGACACATCCACACACAAGCGTGCATGCTTACATATACTCTGAAGTTGACCCTTCCCATTTAATTTGGATAAAATATTGAATTTATTTGCTTGCAGATTTTCCAGTATATTTTCTTTGACTTTAGTATACTTGTTATGCTATATAATTTATTTTCTTTGGGTATATTAGTTAATACCAAAGCTCCATGTTCAACAGGTGATTGCGAATTTCAGTGCAGGATGGTGTGATCCTTGTAAGATGATTGCACCATATTACAGCGAGTTATCTGAGAAATACTCATCTATGATGTTCTTATTAGTTGATGTGGATGAACTAACTGTAAGTCGTGATGCTATATATTATTATTATTATAGTGATTATTTTATAATTAAAGTTTTGTTAAATATATTAGTTGAACTAGTATTCTCCTTAAATATAAGGGCCTCCTGCAACAATTAAACATCTTCCTTTATCATAGATATTGTCCCTGGTAAATGTTATTGTGAAGATGTTATGTACTACATTATAATAATAATAATAATAATAATAATAGAGGGGGGATATTTTGACTACCAAAAGTGTCCACTACCACTTTACTACCTATCAAATCACCATTGGATCAAAGAGAGAGAATGTTAAAAAGTTTTTGAAGAGAGAGAAAATGTTAATCCAATGGTGATTAGATAGGTAGTAAGGTGGTAGTGAAAACTTTTGGTAATCAAAATATCATCCCTCATAATAATATATAATAAGAGAGTTTGTATCATTTTAAATGAAACGACCGTGTTCTGATATATATATTTATTTACCTTTTATATTCTTCTTTATAAAAAAATTAAGAGGAAAAAAAAAAGAGTCTTGTGGAGGAGAGGAAATGTAAAAAAAAATGTAAATACTCTATTTGGTCCTCAGCAAATTTCACGAGGCCCGTTTTAGTCTCTAGCAAATAAAAAGACCCATCGTGGTCCCTAAAAAATTTAAAATGGACCCATTTAGTTGAAATTGTGGTCCTCACAAATTCAAAAAGACCCACATTAGTCCCTAAAAGGACTAAAATGAGTCCATTTTGAATTTCTTAGGGACCACAATGGGCCTTTTTATTTGCTGGGGACTAAAGCGGGTATCCTGAAATTTACTGAGGACCAAAAAAGGTATTTATTCTAAAAAAAAGTAAATATCCACCAAAAAAGGTATTTATTTTAAAATGGACCTATTTAGTTGAAATTGTGGTCCTCACAAATTCAAAAAGACCCACATTAGTCCCTAAAAGACTAAAATGAGTCCATTTTGAATTTCTTAGGGACCACAATGGGCCTTTTTATTTGCTGGGGACTAAAGCGGGTATCCTGAAATTTACTGAGGACCAAAAACGGTATTTATTCTAAAAAAAAGTAAATATCCACCAAAAAAGGTATTTATTTTAAAATGATAAATATTTTCTCCTAATAATAATAATAATATGCCAACAAACTTTATTGAACATTGTTGTGTATGTTGTAGGACTTCAGCATTTCATGGGACATCAAAGCAACACCAACTTTCTTTTTTCTTAAAGATGGAGAAGAACTTGACAAACTTGTAGGAGCCAACAAGCCAGTGCTGGAGAAGAAGATAGATGCCATTTCTGATTCAGTTTCCCAGTGACTATTGTTTTATTCCTCTTTGTAAGAAGCCGTTGGCTTCTTCCTTTGACAAAGTAACAACTCGTGGTGTTGAGTGTTCTACATGTTTTTTTGCCGTGAGTGTCTTTGTATTTGATGTAAATTAAATATAAGACCGTTTCACATGAATTTCTCCTATTCAAAGTGATGTTACTGGTTGTTAAACAAGCCTGTTTTGCAAATATAAAAAAATTTGTTGTGCTTTGTTGTTTAAGCAAATTTAATTCGTTACGCTTTGTACTTTTTACCCACTTATTTTTCTTTTTCGGCATATTTTGACAAAGCTTGCGTGCAAATATTTTCATTGTTAAAGCGAATTCTAATAAATAATAATTCCAACAACAAAAATATGCTATTTCTAACGTCTGAAGAAAAGATAGTAAATCGACTAAAGTGTTATTATTTGACAAATCTTTTATTTAAATGCCACACAAATAATATTTTTTACCAGATTGTCATGGACATAATTTGTTACGACCGGTAGCAAATTACGTTTGACAATAATTTTATGACACGTGGCATATTTTCACAGAAAAAAAGATGAAATTCGCTACTAGTGATATGAAATCATAGGCGATGAAGTTTGATACCAGTTCTAACAAATTACATCACGTGCAATCTAATAAAAAATACTGTTCGTTCCTGTGGTATTTGTATAAAAAATTTACCAAACTATATGAGACTTTGATCACTGTTGTGAAAAGATAGGTCACGGAGTTTTGCACTTAGACACGTATAAGAACTTTTAAAATATATTCTTATTCAAAGTCTTACAAACCTCAAAATTTTCACAGACCACATTATTTTTTAATAATACTTACACAAACTAGTTTCCGACAAAACTTCACAAATCATTGTAACCTTAAAAAGATGGTTTTTGAGTTATATAAATGAATAAGATAACTGTCCCCTTTATTGTTTGACCCCAGACAAGGAATTTTCTTTATAGTATAAGTACAAATTTTCTACTCTTCGTGTTTTTATCTTTCTTTTTTCTTCAATAATCTCCCCATAATTAAATTTAGTTAATTCCATCCAACCAACCAACCATATCCAGCTTATTTCACGTTTTTCCATTCCAATTTCATGGAGACATAAACCTAAAGATTACACCACCAGCCAATTCAAATCAAGCAAAATTTATAATCACATGCCTTACACACAAGAAACAGATTACCTTCACTTCACATTTAAGCATTTTATAGTCAAATTTTTCATATAATATAAGCTTAATATAAACTAATATATAGAGTAATAATTATAACCCTATATAAAAACAGAAGAACACGAATGAATAAACAAATGTGATGGTTGATGGTTGATGTTTGGTGCAAGTGTCTCCTTCATCATGGTTGGAATTGACCCCTTCCTCATATATATATTTTTTTCCTCTTTATGTACACACAGCATGGTTGAGTCATACACACAGCAAAAGTTGAAAAAAAAACTCTATCCCGCTAACACTCACCCACGTTGTCCCTGCTGAGTGCTAATCACCCTATTTATAATTTAATATTTGATATTTTAATATTCCCTCCCCTAAAGTCTTGTGTCCTCTTTTTCCACGAGACCTACCGTTAAATTCTTAATGGGGATTATAATGATTAGTGGAATCCACACAAAAATTCATTATGGTTATATTCTCAGAAGAAAATTTTCATGTAGGAAGACACTAAGAATTTTACTTCAGTGTGCAAAATAATAAAAAATTGAGCCGAACCATGAACCGAACCGAACCAAACCGTCCCATAAAATAACCAGTTTTTAAAAACCAGTTCATGAACCGAACCGATTTTTAAAGAACCAGTTAATGAACCGAACCGGTTTTTAGACCCGGTTTAAGAACCGAACCGAACCATTTTCAAAACGAACCAAATTAATTTTTATAACTTTATTTTTTAAATTTTTAATTTTTTTTCTTTTCAAAAGAAGGTCGATCCGAACCGGTTCCGAACCGAACCACTTCCGAACCGAACCGAGCCATTTAAACCAATTCGGTTCGGTTTTTTAAAAAAACCGATTCAGTTCTTTAAAAAAACCGATTCAGTTCGACCCATGCACATCCCTACTTCACACACAGACATAAACTCCATCCACATGGATTCACCTGAACAATGATCACCCCAATTATAATATAGTACGCCATATCTTATGATAATGCCTATGCTTTGCTTACATATAGATAATGATCATGATATTGCATATGCTAGATTTACAGTCAGACCATATCATTGTTTTGCACGTCTTATCAACCATGGAGAAAAGTAAAGGGAGGGGGGTTTACAAAAGTTCAGATCACAACCACATCGTTACAATATGTTTACTCTTCAATCTTTATGTAACGTAGACACAAATTACAACTTACATCATAATAATAAATAAATCAGAAACAACAAGACAAAGGGATAATAATATTAGGAAGATTAATAACAAGTAAACTTCAAATGTGGTGAAAGCAGATTGCACTACCGAACTTGAGTTGTTGACCGTGTATGGAATGAGTTACTACATGACCTTAACGCCCTTTTGGATTCATGATCTGAGAAAACACAGCACTAGGCGTTAACCCATCAGAGTCTTCACTAGCTAAGCTTCTACCTCCAATGCTCATAGTAATGCCACTGCTTCTGGAGTCAGTAACATTACCATCATAACCCAGTATTGCATCGGAGTCCTTCTTTCCCTTAGAATCTTCAAATAATGGCTCATCTTCATTGTGCATTACACCAAGGCCGTTGCCACTTTCCTCTGCACTTTCTTGCAGCTGCAAAGCAAATTCAAGGTTCCACAGAACATCACCCATGGATGGCCTTTCAATGCCCTGGTCAGCCACGCACTTCATCGCGGTCTCAGCAAACTTCTTAAAGCATTCTGGAGCTATCTTGCCCTTCAGATAAGGATCAATGATTTGGTCAAGAATGCCTTTCTTGTAGCAATGAGATGCCCACTCAGCTAGACTCACTTGCTCCTTAGCAAGGGCTGGGTTCAAAGCCGGGCGAGCACACAATATCTCAAATAGAACCACACCAAATGAGTAAACATCAGATTTGTCAGTCAGTTGCTGCCTCCTGAAGTATTCTGGATCCAAGTACCCAAAACTACCCTTTACTACAGTACTTACATGTGTATTATCCAATGTTGGGCCCGTTTTTGATAATCCGAAATCAGAAACCTTAGCCACCCACTTCTCGTCCACTAAAATGTTTGTTGTCTTTACATCACGGTGTATGATAGTGTGTTTAGCACCAGTGTGTAGATAGTGTAAACCCCGTGCAGCACCGATGCATATCTCAAGCCTTTGCTTCCATGGCAGGGGAGGTTTCTGGGTCTTGTATAGATGCTCCCTGAGTGTTCCATAGGCCATGTAATCATAGACAAGGATCATTTCAGTGTTTTCTTCACAGTAGCCAATCAGTGAGACAAGGTGGCGGTGACGAAGTTTAGAGAGCATTTCAATCTCAGTTTGGAACTCGTGCACCCCCTGCTCAGAGAGTGGATTCCCTCGTTTAATTGCTACTTTGGTTGTTCCACCATCAACTTCTCCTTTGTAAACCTTACCGAATCCTCCAACACCAAGAAGCAAAGCCTCATCAAAGTTGTTTGTAGCAGACTTGATTTCAGCAAATGAGAAATGACGACAAAGGTTTGCTGGGAGAGAGGATGCATAACTTCCTGTTGTGTTGGTCTTGGCAGAAGCTGCAGAGTGTGAGTTACCATAAAGAGAAAGCGGAAGCCAGCCAGATGGCCCTTCACTTGCACTAGAATCTTTTCCATGCCTACGGCGACGGGATGCAGCAAAAGCAAATAGCCCAATCAGAAGTACTAAAACAACTCCTCCACAAGCACCTCCAGCAATTATTCCTGTCCGATTCTTGGATTTATGACTAGATGCCGTAGCCAATGATGGGTCAATTATGTCTTGCACAGGAGGAGGAATCGGATTTGTCCCCGCCAGAGTACCTGTAGTATCATTAATTTTGAATATCTCCACTCCATTCAAGATTGAATTATACCACTGGGGCTTTGTAGTTGTATCTGGATGCAGTGCAAGCCACAGGTCCTGTCGTGGTTCCCCATTAGGAACAAATACAACAAAATCTTTATGCACTGGAACACCATTTGAATGTGAAAGGGAAAAACTCTGCGCCCAGGCAATAACATCAGCCCCAGATTGAGCAGTTTGATTATTGAGGAATATATCAAATACTCTTTGATTAATCTTGGTTATATTTGTCGTCCCTTCACAAAAATGGAGTCTAACGAGATAGGAATACCCAGAATCAATGGAGAAAATCCAAGTCAAGTTGTAATTCAAATTGATGTTGTTATCCGGCCCCATCGTTCTGGATGTATTGTAGACATCAGACGGAGCAATATAAGTTGGTGTACCCGGAGGATACTCAAACTTCACTTGAGGATCAGCAAGCTCAGTAACTCCAAATGAAGCCCCATAGAGGTAGGGCATATCATCAGACCATGACCTAAACATACCAGTATCATGGGAGGGCGAGATATCATTCCCACCCACATTTAACCTATAAAGATTCTCAAGTGCAGTGGTGTTGTCAATGTTGAAAGCAGTATTTGTACCCACGATCATGGTAGTTCCATCAGTAGAAGTATAAATATCAGGCATGGACACAACCTCAATCCCATTAACAAATGCATAAGCATTAGAGGCATTGGTAGATGGAGTGAAAGTCACATTCAAGGTTCCCCCTTCAACATAGATGGAGTATTCCTTCACAATGTAGGCATAATTCAAAGCTAGAGTGGTCTGAGCAACACTAAAGTTCCTAACCAAAGTGTAGGATTGCGCCGTCACCGCAAAAAGGGCATCGGTTGCCTTGCGGCCAGAATAAGAAGACGAATAAAAGTACAGCCGGAGGAATTTCCAACCAGAGGCCACCGGAAAAGTGTAGGTATACGGCGCGCTGAACACGCGCGCCGTCGTGTAGGGAACCTGAGGGACGGCAGGGTCTTGAGTTGCCGCCGGAGATGTGGTGGAATTTCCGGCAGAGGAACCAAACTTGGAATGATCATCGGTGGTCCATTGACGGCCATCAGTATCAGAACTAACCGGAGGGCCCCCACAATTCAGAAGGATCTCATCTTTAGGCGTAAAATCCGCTGCTAGGACAAGTTCAACAGCTAATACCAAGCACACAAACAATGGAACAAAAAAACAGTACTGATTCATATTCCTCATCATAACCCCCCAAAAGTCCAAAACCAAAAACCAAAAACCCTGCTTTGTTTTCTTATATGGGATTATAATTCAACACACCCAGAAGTGGAAAACAAACAAAGATCCCAAATTTGATGAAAAGATCTGATTTTTATAGCACCCAGATCAGAACATGAAAGTGGGGTGGATGGGGATGATGATCAGCTTGAACAAATAACTGGGTGTGGGATAATGATGAACTAGATTTACAGTTAACAGAAGACTCAACAAAAGAAAAGGCGTGGGATAATCACAGCTAAGATAACGGTGTGGATGGAGAGATTTCAAGAAAAATTGTTGAACAAGAGAGGGGAATTTACCTCATGCCATGTGAATAGCAGCTGAAAAAGCAACTAGGCGAGTCAAACCAGAGAGATCCCAGGGATTTAGGGTTGAATTGCAGTTGGAAAGAGCAGAGAGAAAGAGAGAGAAAATGGAAGAAAGGAAATGGAATGAGAAAATACCAGAAATGAAAAAACCACCTTAAATATTGCACCTGAAGTTGTAAGATAAAAGGCAAAAATACAAGAATGTAAAATAACAAGAACAAATATATAAATTTATTTGACATAAATTTAATATGATAACATTAAATTTGAGTAAAAGGGTAATAAGGATATTTACCAAACAAAAAAAAAAGGAAAAGGATAAGAAATTTAATATGATATAAATTTACTTAAGAAATATTTATCAGTGTTGATTTAAATATAATCAATGATAATAAAAAAGTAATAAAGATGAAAAAATTAAATAGTTAGAGAATATAATTGTTTCCTTAAAATAAAAGATTTTATAAGAATTATGTTGTAGAAAAAGTGATTGTGTAATGTTATAGAGATTCGTTTTGCATGTCGTAGTTTTTTTTTTTTTTGCTTCAAAAAATGTGGGTCCCACAAAATATTGTGTGTGTAGGAAATTTTTTTGTGTCATGTGAAAGGATAAAATACAAACTCCTAAAATAAATATATCTTTTAGGAGAACTTTTTAAAGTAGTAATAGTATTTGTATTTAATTAATTTATGTTTAAAGAATAAATATTTGATTGGGTCCCAACAAAAAATACCGAATCCATTTTAATTTTTAGAAGAAAAAAAGTCGACTTATCATTCATGCGAAATTCTCATTCTTTGAAATTGTGACTTATATATAAAATTCAAAAAAAATTTATATTAGTTCATCAAAAATAATTAATATAAATATTTTTTAAAATAAATTCAATATTTTTTTTGTAAATACACAAAATAATATTTATTTATATTTAAATTGAGAAAAGTGTGTATCATTTAAAAGGATGTAAAATTGTGTTATTTTAAGAGAGAGAAAGAGATAGATAAAGAAAGACATCACCAGTTAACAAAAAAAAAATGTGAATCTCACTTCTTTATAAAAATAAAAAGATATAAATTATATTATTTAGAAGAATAAACATTTTTTTTATTTAAATTATTATAATACAATGAATCTCCAGAGCTGTTACCTCCGTCACCGCCACCAATTTGACTTTGGAGGGTACGGGTAGCTGTCTAGTTGCGCTTACGCTTTTTCAATAAAAACGATGATAATAATTAAATAATAATAGATTTGAATGTGACGATTTTGACCTTGAAATATAAACTTTTTAAATATTTTGGAAGCAATAAAAAAATTCTAAGACATATTTTTGCAGTGTTTAAATATTTTTTTTAAAGTAAATATCTAAGTATAATAGGAACAGTTCTTAAATGTCAAGTGCTTAATAGTATCTGAACTTTTAAATTTCTGATTCTTAAGATATTAATTATACATAGATTTGGTTCTTAACAAATTAATTTTTTTTTCCAATTTTTCTTCACTCTTTTTCTTATATTTTTCCTTTCTCTCGTTTTTACTCAAATTTAAAAATAATCATTCGGTAAAATATAATTGTAAGAACTACTAATTTATCGAATGATTATTAAATATTTTTTTAATAAAATTAAAATTTAAGACAAATTTTAACCAAATCAAAAAGTAAGCACTAACACAGCTGGTATTGTTATGGAGGTCACAGTTTTTTTCTTAATAACCAAACTAAATTAAAATTAATCATAAAGTGGGAAATTTATTAACTAGTGCCACAATGGTTTAAAAAGTTATCAAACTGTCCATCTTTTTATCTTTAATTTTTAAACAAAAAAATTAAAATAAAAAATTTATAAAATATAATGTGGGAAGTGCATGTTCATGTAAGGAGGAGGTGATTGATGATTAAATGACAGATAAGTTATGCGGGGAATGTGGTATCTAACAGATGGACAGGACAAGCACGCGTATTATCTATCAAACGAACGCGTTTTCTTCCCTCTGTGGTCACTACTACATACATTACTCACCTTTGCTTTGCTGGAATGCTGAACTCATATTTTATCATCTAATGCATTAAATTAAATCATTCAACCAAAAATCTTCTAATAGTTATTTTGATTTAGACACAATATGACATTCTTCTGTCGTTCTAGCCAATTTTTACGTTCTTTAACACTTATATATATAGTTTCATTTTTTCTAAAATTATTTTAAAAAAATTTATCTAATATTTACCGAAACAATATCGCTTTGGGAAGAAAATTGTACGTATTTATAATTTTAATTTATTCCAGAATTATAATAGTATTTATCATTCTAATTTTTTAACCCAAAATTATGTCGTTTTGATGAAAATTAGACAAAAATTTTAAAATAGCTTTAAAAACTTTATTCCATATATATATATATATATATATATATATATATATATATGGGTTTGTTGGATGCAAAGTGACTGCACGTCTGCACCTAAGCATTGGTGCAATTATATAAAACTATATCGTTTTATAGTGTGAAAGCATTAAATATGGAGAATCATAAGATGAAAATAAATATAAAACATTAAATATGAGGAATCATAACTATACAAATGTAGAAATAAATATAATATTTCTATTTTCTACAATTAATTTTGAATGCGAATTTTTTTTATCCCACTCAAAACGACGTTTGTTTTTAGGTGACTTAACCGTAAAATAAATATTGAAACTACATCACTCCCCGTTAAAATCTGACTAGCGAGTTACAGGCGGAGGAAATCATTGTACGCAATCTGCTTACCCTTACATAATTGCAAAGAGACTATTTTATGAATTCGAACTCATAACATTTCAGTCATGAAGGAACAATTTTCTCACTGTTTCGAATCGTCCCTTTTTAAATATTGAAACTAGTATTTTATAATAAAAAAATCATTAGAATTTAATGGTAATTAAAAAAAAATACGTAGAGGATTATAAATAAAAGTGAACCAAATCACTTAATGTCCAATAAAAATTACAGAGTTGCATTTCTTTAATATCAAGCATATGACCATGTAATGTAGAGGCCACCCCATTGATTTTGGGGCACACCCAAGGCTTTCCACACACAGCCTTGGATGCATCAACTATGTTGTTAGAACTTAGAACATGGAGGTTGGTAATCATGGTCTTGATCTATATATCACCGATATCGACACGGGACATGTGACATAACACAACACTCCAATACGTTAATTTTAAAAAATATTAGATTTCGACAGGTTAGGATGCGTTTTAATATTAAATAATATTTTTAATTTATGTATTATATATTATTCAATAATTTAACAAAAAAATGAAATTAAACTTATAATATTCATCAATTTTGTAAAAAAATATAAGATATCCCAAATATTTATATTAAACTCAATAAAATGGTAATCGTAATCCAACGAATAGTTAGAACTAAAAACTCAACGCAACACAACCTTTGAATCTTTTTTTGAATTTCTATAACGCCTGTTGAAGTGTCGGAAAGTGTCGGACACGATATGTCAGAGTTTTTTTGAAGTGTCGGTACTCATCACATCCCATGGTGGAGTCACACTCATCAACGACCATGGCTTTTACACTTCTTCCATTGGCATTGATGGTAATGTTTTTGAGACACAAGGTAATGTTTTTGAGACACAAGCTCTTGTTTTTGCATCATCCAGTGGAAAGTGCAACCACTGGAGTGTCATCAGAATAGTACTTGTTGTCACATTCTGAAGGGTCACCTCCATCTCCACCTTTTTGGAAATTATTGAGAGTGAGATATGCCTTTGTGTGTGTAGACACTGGTGGAGAACATTTATAAGTTTGTGTACATTTGGCCTGTCCCTCTTTTAACTATGTAACGAACGCGTTTTCTTTACTCTGGGGTCACTACATTACTCACCTTTGCTTTGCTGGATTCATCAACTAATATTTTATAAACTATACATTACATTAAATCATTCAATCCAAAATATCTAGTTATTATTTTTTATTTAAACACAATATGACATTCTTCTGTCACTTTAGCCGATTTTTATATATATAAGTGATCAATTTGTGTTCGGTAATTGGCTTGGCTTAGTCCACTACCAAGATATTTTTAAGTACACTGAAATTTAAATGTAAACATCCATATTAATGATTGAGAAACACACACGCATAACATGAAATGCTAGAGGTGTTAAGAGCACAAGAAAGCACGTTTGAGTAGTTTATTGAAGTGAAACTTAGATACAATTTGACATTAAGGAAGGAGAAACATTTCTAATAACAGTGGCTCCAAAAGGTGCAATCCCAATGTGTTTCTGAACTCAAGCTATTGGTTTCAGCACGTACATTTTACACGCATGTGAATCAACTGTGGCAGTCAACTTATCCACGAATGGTTTCTTCAATGTCTTGTGCTGCATGCAATTAGCAGATACATACATTACATCATTAGTACCCCAACAAAGTGTGATGAAAAGAGAAGCATCCAAGCCTACAAAAAACAAAAGATAATGAATGTATCCAACTACAATATATACCTCCCAAAGGTCTCTTGCTTCAACAACACTTTTTGGAGGAATGCCAATGTCATCCCAATTTGCTGTAATGGCAATACGGACAGGACCTCTATTAAGCAACACAACAGCTACCCTGTATCCTGAAAGAGGACCTGCCCATATCTGTCCAAAATGTATGCCTTTGATCATTTTTTTGCTCATTGGACACCAGAGAAACAATCAAATGTTGTGTATTACAGAATGCAACTTACCTCAAGATCACCTTCCATTCTAACCTTTTTAGCTTGTACACCAAGTGAATCTGACATGATAAGAGTTAAACATGAATAAAGTAGCACATTACAATGAATGAGAAATCAGAAAATGACCCTTATTATGCATCACCTTGGTTAACTGCAATAACTTCCTTATTTCCCACTATCTCCAGAGTCTCTTTAGTCATATTACTAATGTCACAGCCCAGAAGTAGAGGAGCCTGCAACAAACCATTGCATGAGAAAAAGAAGCACTGTCACATAAATCAAGATACTTGGGAAAAAAAAATGATGGTACCTTGGAAATGGCCCATAAACTGAAGTGAACAATATATTCATCTTTTGTCATCCCTCCATTTCCCACTTCAAGCATGTCAGGATCTGTTGGGTTTAAATGTTTAATGCATATCATGACTCACATTTAGATGAAATCCAAACATAAACCTTCAGTCAATGTAATGCTAGTGAAATTCTAACCATTCCAACCACCAGGTCTTGCATGCTCAGCATAAACTTCATTCATGTCAGCCCTTGAAATCATACTGCCAGAGACAATAGTTACATTTATTAGCTACAATTCCAACTTCATTAGATTTTGGTGAAGAGCTACACACCCTACTTCATATCAATTCAAGACTAATTGCATCAGCAAATTGAATGCATATATAGTTTTCACCTTTCCCATGAATCATTAATGTCATTTGTAGTTCTCCAGCTATTTCCCACACTATCACCCCATAAAGCTGGGTGCATGTCTCCCCTAACAAACAAAGCATTTGTAATGATTAGAGGGAATTACTTAAAATTGAAGGAACAATCAAAAACTACAAATAATAGCATTACCATTCACATAGTGAGTAGAAGATTGGACGACCTGCCTTCATTAAAGCCCGAGTCATAATAGGGTATCTGTATCAGTAAGAAAACCATAGTTTTCAAAATTATGTATTAAGATTAAAGTGGAATATTAAAAAGATACAATTCGATCAAAGAAAATATAACACTTGTATCCAAATATACTTTTGAGTACCTAACAGGGGGTTTTGATCCATCATTGTTACAGTTATCATACTTCAAGTAATCAATACCCTGTAAATAAAGCAAAATAGCCATTTTTTTAGTAGCAATTGATATTGTAGATATGGATGAACTAAGTCCTTACCTATTTGCCTTAGTTATGGATGAACTAACAAAAGATATTCAAGAGGAAGTGCCATGGTGTATGCTTTTTGCAGACGATATTGTGCTTATTGATGAGAGCAAGGAGGGTGTTAATAGAAAACTTGAATTGTGGAGAAGCACATTGGAATCCAGAGGATTCACATTAAGTCGAAGCAAGACTGAGTATCTGAAGTGTGAGTTTTCTCTGGTACAAGATGAGGACCAAGAACCTGTGCATCTAAATGGTCAAGAGGTACTCAAAAAAAATGCTTTTAAATACTTGGGCTCCATTTTACAAAATGGTGGAGAGATTGATGAGGATGTAAATCACAGAATCAGAGCAGGGTGGATGAAATGGCGTAGTGCATCTGCATTTTTGTGTGACCGCAAAATTCCCCTGAAGTTAAAAGGAAAATTCTATAAAACGGCAGTACGACCGGCAATGCTATATGGAGCGGAATGCTGGCCAGCACATAGGCAACATGAGCATAAGATGGGAGTAGCAGAGATGAGGATGTTAAGGTGGATGTGTGGGTACACAAGGATGGATAAGATAAGAAATGAAGATATTCGACGAAAGGTCGGAGTAGTACCGGTAGCCGAGAAGATGAGAGAACATAGATTGAGGTGGTTTGGGCACGTGATGAGAAGACCCATGGATGCTCCTGTAAGAACAGAAGTTTGTTACCAAGAGCTAAACACAAAAAGAGGCAGAGGTAGGCCGAAGCTTACTTGGGGGAAAGTAGTAAAACAAGATTTAATTGAGTGGGATATAGATTGGCGGACAGTATGTCTTAGAAAGGAATGGAGAAAAGCTATAAGTATGGTGGAGGGTTAGACTCGCTGTTATTCCTATGTTCCAGATGGTCCTTTTTTAGTCCTTTCCCCCACTTCTTCTTGTCCCTTTCTTTTTTACTTTTATTTATTTATATATACATATATTTTTATTTCATTTTATTTTATTTTATTATTTTATTTGTGTATTTTTATTTATTTATTTATTTATTTTTTATTTTTTATTTTTTATTTTTTTATTTTTACTTTTTTTCAACCGTTTTGTATCTTTCATGTGGGTTCATCTACCACCGACCCCAATTAATTTGGGATAAAGGTGTTGTTGATGATGTTGATATTGTAGATATGCCAGGGAAAAAAGATAAAGAAATGAACACAATGTTTAATACCCATGATGCAAAAGTCTTGGCATCTTGAAACTCATGACCTAGTGAACCAGGCATCTTTTTGCTACAAGTAAAATACCTGCCAAATTAACCAACATAAAGCTTAGTGAAAAATAGTTGAAAAACAACATGGTACTAAGTTGTTTAGGTGTTTGGCTAAGTCTATGTACCCTGCATCCGAATAAATCCCAAGCTTAAGACCCTTGCTGTGAACATAATCTGCAAGAGCTTTGATGCCAGAAGGGAATGTTGATTTCTTTGCTGCAAGATTTCCCTATAACAATATTTGGAAGAAATAATTTTAATTGAATGCAACAAGGTCCAGGTATCCAGCAAGAAAATGCAATGAAGCATTATCAAAAATTATACAACCAATACCTTATCATCACGATTTATTTCAGCCCAACAATCATCTACAGCAATGGAAGGAACATTGTGAAGGTTAATTAAATAGGCTCATGAAATTTTTGAAAGTGAAGGGTAGAAAGTAATAAAAAATAATAAGAGACTTGAAAAATAGGTGTTTTCATGTACCTATGTTGACATAGGTGTATCCAATCTTGGAAAGACCAGTAGAAACAAGAGCATCAGCTGTAAACAAATGTAAAAAAATTTACAATCAGACTGAATTTCTTATTTAAGTGAATCTTTGCCAACAATGCATAACAAAAGCCAAATGCTGGTTTCTCGGATGTACTTATAGTTTTTTTTTTTAAATTAAATTCATATATATTTATAATGATAGACACATTCAAAAGTTACATAACATAAACATATATAGATGACCACATACCAGTTTCTCTGATGATTTTTTCGTTAATTTGACAGTTAAAATGATTCCAACTGTTCCACCTGCTCAAAAACAAAATGTCATAACAGCTCAAAATCATAAATTTCAAAGTAGAAAGGAATATACTAGGCTAATTGTCACTATGTCAAGGTAGGATAATACTGTGAAAAATGAAAGGGGAAAAAAAGGACTTTTTTTTTTCCTTCCTAGGATTCCTTCATAGCACTGTTTATGGTATAAACAAGCATCATGGGTGAGCAGTATTGTAAGCAATGAAGAAGGAACACTGAGAAACTCTGAACAAGTAAAAAGCACTAATTTTCATACACACATTATAGATACATAGTACATACATACCCCATAGGAGGAGTTCTACCAAGGCCATTAGCCAATAGATTTCTCCTGAGTTGCTCCTCATGGTTATTGAGTTTGCTTAGCCCTGATGATGAAGCAGAAACACAAACCAATGAGAGATGCAAAAGGGTCATCAAAGCTACCAGCATCTCACCACCAACCCTTCTCTCCATTCTGTTCACTTCAGCAGTTACTTCTGCTTTTTCACATATAGGGATCCCTTATCTATTTATAAAGAGAAATGATTCTATAGTTTCTTAGCCCAATGATCTAATGACGTATTGTACACGTAGATATTTGATATATTCAAGTAAACCTTTATACCTGATTATAAGTAACAACTTTCATTTTTTCCTGAAAAAAAGAGAGACAATTAATCTGCATATCCTCTATATAATAGCTTTTTGTATAACTCAGGTTAATGAAATTGAATGAGAAGAAAACCAAGAAGAAGCTTTGATGTGTATGCTACACAATTGCACAATCATGACATAGCTGGCTAGCTGAACCTCTTCTCTAGCCAGGTTTCCTTTAACGTCCAGATATGCTGTCTTTAATGAGAGTTACTTCTCAATCTTGTCTGTTAGTGCAGAACATAACTATTACTTTTGAGGGGAATATGTTTATGACAAAAATTATTTTATTTTTATGCATACATACAAAAATAGAAAGGATCCATTAATTTTTATTTTTTTTTCTTAGTGGATCATATTTATTTTTTTATGTGTTGTATGAAACAAAAAATATATATTCCCCATTCTTTTATTATTTCATGAAATCATTGTTAATAAAACTGATAAAAATAGAGTCTTGTTAAATTGTTGTGCCAACATGACTCTTAAATACAAAAGGAATATAACAGGAAAAATTTACAATTTACAATTTTAAATTTATGCTGAAAACTAATTTTAATCCTATAAGTATACTGACAACTAATTTTAATCCTATGCTGACAACTAATTTTAATTCTACGATTATGTATATTATTAAATACAGAATACTTCCATTTGTTCCTCCAATAATTGTTTCAATTTAAGTGAAGTTTCCAGTGTGTGTCAGTGACTGAACAAGATTACAAAGATGTACTCAGAAAGGGACCACCTAGTGGGACTTAGGTTTCTTTTTTGACCAATGCATGTTGTGTTGAAATCAGAGGATAAGGATATTGAATATTTATTCAAACAAAAGTAATTGTTTTTAATTGGTTTATAGTGCTCATAGGAATGAACTATTGGTGGGAATCATTCTAGCTAAAATTGTGAATAATGTTTACGCAGATATTCCTGATAAGTTATTTGTATTTATTTTTAAAATAATATCGTTTTGGTATTAAAATCTTAAAAAATTATAAATATAAAGATTATTATAATCCTGAAATAAATTAAAATTAAAAAAATATCATGATTTCCGTCCTAAAACAAAGTCATATTGAATTTACTGCAGATAACTTATCTTCAGTAACTCCAGAAAAAACGAATCCAAAAAAAAATCCTGCACATACAAATTTATGTGGGTTCTACAATTAAAAAAAAAGATAGACATATTTATCTAAGGGTCAGCAGGAAACTTTTTTTTATAGTAACGTGATTACTTATATTTTCCTTAAAATATACAACTTTAATTACCCCAAAAATAATCTTCTAGAGGTTATTTTTTACATTAAATTGTGTCGACGAATTTGTTAAATAATTAATATTGGTCCCTATTTTTATGATTAAGATATGATTTTCTCATAAGAAGCAATGATTGACCATTAGCATTTCACTCATAAACTTTACTATTTTAGAAGATGACCACAAAATTAAAATATCATGAAAAGTTGGATTATTTTTTTTTTAAATATTACAGATTAAGTAATAAAAATTATAAATTAAATAAAAATGACAACCTCAATTTATATTTAAAACAATGCGTTTATCGTTTCTCTTGCCACATAAGATAAATTTATCTTCAGCAATCAAAAAATTACGTCGTTTTGAGGGTTGAGGGACTTAACGAAGAGTGTTTGGGTAAAATTTATATAACAATTTTTTTTTCCTTTATTAATTCTATCAATCCCCAAAATGATGTAATTCTGGATTTGCTGAAATAATTTTATCCCATGTCTCAAGAAGTATTTTTTCCTAAAACAATAATATTAGAAAATAAAGAATAAAAAATTGACAATGCCACGTGCTTTGTACAAAAGGTGGACTGTAATGATCTCCAATTTGTAAATCTTAATTAGAGATTTAATTTAAGGATTTAAAGGTCATACTTAGATTCAGAACGTAATTTCGAGTGTTTTGACTGTATTCATGACTAGGTCATGAACAGTTCCTTCTGTCGAGTATTTTGCACTGCTGTGTAGCAACCGGTAGAATCCACAAATGAGAAAAAAAAATTCAATTTATGCCAAACAAGTCATTTTAGGAGAAAAATGTTATTTTGTTAAGTATAAATGTATGTATTGTAAATTAAGTGAGAGAATGTTATCAAAAAAAAAAAAAAAAATTAAGTGAGAGAAAAATACCCTTTAAAAAAAGACACATGTGCATATAAGCTTTAAGTGACTTAAAAGACATTATTCGTTGTCTCTCATTTCTCATCTCATAGCCGCAGATCGTGCTTCCCTCCACAGAAAAAGAAAATTTTGAGTGAAATGTTCCAAAGTTTATATCTTTAGCTACACAACTCCAAATCATGTCCTTCCAAAGCCTAACTTGAAGGAAATTTCGAGAGGAATCCATTGGTGCTAGTATTTTGGGGTGGGGTTCACTATAGAGGGAGATTTATCCTCCTCTTCCATGTGGGTACTGTTCATTATCCAAGAAAAGTAAAGTTTTTAGATGATCCAATGCTTGGAGGTTGATCCTTTGGTTGCCTAAGAGTGGTTTAAGGTAAGAAACTCTATTACTATTGGTTGAATAATTGATTTCTAAGTCTAGGGTTCATGAACATATTTGTGGGAAACGTGAAATTTGAAATTTGAATTAGTTATGGATTATTGATGTTTAGATATGGTAATCTGAGATGAATATGTATATGTATGGAAAGTTGAAAAAAAGAAAAGAAATCCTCTTGAATATCTCCTTAGGGTTCGGCCATGATGCTCTAAAGGGAGCAGAGGCGGACTCACATTGTTGCCTGTGTCTGCACATGCAGACATAAAAAATTGAGATTTTTTTTTGAGGATAACAGGTGCAAGATGTTGAATCTTTCTGTGTTTCATAGAATGATGCAGGAAAAAATTGGGAAGACTTCTTCAACAATGCCTTTGGAGCAAATGGTGAATTATCTCTGGTCAAATCTTTCTGTATTTCCTGTTTTTTGGTTTGAACGACATTCTTTGCCTTCTCTACTTCGACTTTAGCTTTTTAAGAAGAGTCTAAGCTTAATTGTCCATTCTCATGATCACTCAGATAATCAGACTGCGTTATGTCTTCCAAAATTTGGCTGGTTTTATTAGATAGTGTCTTTGGTGATCTCATAGCAAGAAAATTCATCATCAGTTAAGAAATCTTTCTCTCTTTCAACAACATCATCACCAGAAAAAGGTTGAACCATTTTCTCCTCCTCAGGAACAGACACAACATCTTGCACTTGTAATTTTTTTATGTAAAGCCAGAATACATTTAAAATTTTCTTTAAAAAAAAATTTCGGTGGCGCTGCCCCCGAACCCCCGCCTTAAGTGTGCACACATAAAAAAAAATCCTGGGTCCGCCACTAAAAGGGGGTATGATGTGCAAAAATATAATGGCACATTTAGTGAAAGGAATATATATATGTATAAGAGAATGTACGAGTTATATGGTTAAAGAATTCCTAGGTTGTGAAAATGCCACTATGAGGCCTATGTGCTTAAATTGTGGAACCTTGGAAAATCATGAATATGTTAATGAATCTTGAATTAGAGATGTGTGATAAGCTTGAATTTGATGGACTAAAGCATTGGAATCGTGAAATTGGCATAATTTCCTTCATGTGTCTCTTAGCCATTTACAAAGGAAGAATATTTTTAGAGTTCTTGTTTGTGCTAATGAGCACTTATACGGTCTAAGGACTATATGATTTAGAGGTTGCAATTAGGGTCGAACTCGACGGGTCAACCTGTCAACCCGCTAAAACGGGGCGGGTTAGGTTATACTTTTCAACCCGCCTAGTTGTGGGTCAAAACGGGTTGGCGGTGGGTCGGGGCAGATTAACTCGCGGGTCAGGGTTTTTTTTTTTACTAATAGATAGTATTTTATTTGTCACTAAGCTTTTGTGATATGAGAAAAAATTTATCTTAGTACTCCCCTAGAAAAAATAAAGAAGAAAAACTTTATTTATTACAAAAGTTAACCATATATTGAGGCAAAAATAAGTTCCTAAAAAATATTTTACTGAATATTAATATACATTTTGGTTTGAGATTGGAAAAAAACTAAAGGAATTGTGAAATAAAAATAAGAAATATTATAAAATTAATAAAATCTATTTTATTTTTAATTATTTTTATTTTTTAGGCGGGTTGACCCGCCAAATCACCACAAAATTGGGTGGGTTAGAATTTTCAACCCATATCAAAATGCTGGGCGGGGCAGGCCAACCCGTTTTTGGCGAGTTGGTGGCGAGGCGAGGCGGGGCGGACCGACCCATTTTTCCATCTCTAATATGATTAGATGTTTAAATCTTTGGTTGGGTTAGATAAAAAAAAATGAATAAGTTCCTTCTTTGGGCCTTATATGTGTTTATAGCCATTTTCAAAGGAGGTATGTGCTAGGAGTTACTGTTTTACAAAGCAAACATACTTTTATGTGTGAAAAAATATTCTGAGGTGTATGGACCATCGCTTTGGTGAAATAAAAAAGAAAATAAGGTAACTCCTTTCTATGGCCTTAAAATGAGTTTTGACCATTTTCAAAGAAGGTATACGTTCGGAGATATTGTTTCGCAAAGTGAGAACACTTTTATGCGTAAAATAATTTATATAGATGGCTAAGCTTGTGTTTAGGCACTAGACAAAGAGAAATCTTATAGCTCCTTGTAATTGGCACTCTACCTTAAATTGGAAAACATAGGCTTTAATGTGCTAAGAGGAGTAATGAGTGTTCTAAAGGTCTTTTGGGACTATCCTAAGACTAAGTAAATATGTGAAATTATGTGGAGATTTGTTGAACAAAGAACCACCACTCATGGCCTAATATGATTAAATAAAAA